AGAAGGGGAATATCAGGTATCTGACATGCCTTTGTAGTAAAGAGAAAGAGGAAAACGTGGAAGAATGGAAAGCAAAGATGTGACACTGAAGAATGGTCATGGAAACTGGTGAGACAGACTCTGAAACTATTAGTGTGGTCCAGAGATGTACACAAAGTCAGTATAATTCTCATTTTTTATTTACCTTGAAGCAGGCTGAAAGCAAAAAGGGGATATAGGTGGATGTTGTTTTGAAATAGCACCTTTGGAAAACTCTCTTTTCCAATCTGTATTAGAGTGACTTATTCCACATCTAAACAAAAAGCCCAAACCAAAGAAAGAAGAACAACCAGCAAAGCAGGCTTGGGTAATGTCTGCTATCTGTAGCTGGGTTTTGTTGTGTCCTGCTTTTTCATATGTGTGAACTGTGGGAGCTTTTGAGGCAAGGGAAAAAGAAGCTTAAATTATAATATTTCCCCTTTAATTTGGAACCTTGACAATATGGAAAGGAGAATTTTAGTCAAAGTTTCATAAGCCTTGCTGCTTTCCCAGGTTGTTCTCCAATACTGTGCTAATTGACAAGAGGTTCTGAGAATGCCTAAAATAAAAATTCTAAAAATATGCAGTTTTAATATGTTTCTACAACAGGTGCAGCAATGGCAGTGACCTTGTGAAACTTCTTGCTCTATGCTGTTCCTGTGTACTACAGAGAATCACCACTTTATATATGAAAGAGCACATGTATCTGTCTCCCATTGTATTCAGCCAAAGATGCTGCTGACATCTCTGCTGTGAATAGACTTCTGTCTGGCAGCTGCTGATAGCTGGCATGCCATTCTCAATGCAAAATACTAGGCATGCCAGTTTTTTAATGTTCAACTTGGCTGGGTATTTGTAATCATGGGGAGTAGACAAGGACAAGAAGTGAAAAGTGAACTTACTCTTGCTCCTCTGTGTCTGTGGTCTTTAGTAGTATACAGTGAGTTGTGTGATGATGGGCAAGTGGTAAATCAGGTTGTAGATTTACAACCTACAGGATGGGAATGGTGCTTCTTCAGCTTGTTGCTTCTCCTGTAAGCAGCAGTGACAACACTGAGGTAGAAAGTACTTAATCCCATGTTCCATCTGCTACTTTGTTCATTAAGTCTCTTTCTTTTCCCACTTCCCATTTCCTATCCAGCATTTTATGCTTATTTCATTTCAGATTTTTAAACTGGAGCAGGCCTTTCATTTCTCTTCTTGATCTCTTCATGTTTCATTGGGCTATAGATTCCCTCATACTTCAAAGAAAACAGCCAGGAGATCTTTTCATTCTTAAGGGTTTAATTTATTTAGCACAAAAGATGGCGTAAAAATCTGCAGAAAAGACCATTCATTCTTTATAAACCTTTAAGTCTTCATTTGAAATTTGTTCCAGAAACTGACTGAACTAATCCTAATGATTCATCAGTTTCATAAGCCTGTCTTGGCTTCAACTGGACAACAGACTGAAATGGTATTCCTTATATAAATTGTGACAGTATTGTGGAAAATACTGTGTGGAATCAGTGTTTGATTTTTTTGATTGTACACTAGTATTCCGTATTTTAGTGGAAAATACAAACATGCTTCAAAAAGTCTCATAAAATGCATACTAAAAGAAAATGTTAGTTAGGGATCATGACTCAGAATTCTGGTTTATATTTCTTTACCTTTTTAAAACGATATGGTTGAAGAATAAGATTTTTTTTTTTTATGTTTAAAATACCATTAAATACCTTTAATACCATTAAAATGTCTGGATTATTATTTGAAAGGTATGATTTGGTTTTAATGCCAGTCATTTTTATTATAAATCACTTGGAAACATCATCTAGCCTTCAGTACCTAACATTGTTTCAAACTACCACTGATACTACACATGATTATTTGAAATGGCTTGAGTCAGAACATGGCAAAAAAAAAGTTAATCCATTGCATATAATCTAAAGATGTGTGAAGCTCTATTGCACGTAGTTGTTATAAAAACACTTCAGTGACTTTAGCTCATTAAACTAATTTAACTAGAATATCTCAATTTCCTGGAGAGAAATGAACTCACTAATATTTAGCAGAAACAGAGGGGAGTAATTGGTCAACATATGCATGGTTCACCGAAACATAGCAGTGAACAAGGACTGGAGTTTCAGATTAATTTAAAAAACAAGTTACAAATTAGAGTCACCAGTGGTTTTATGAGGTGAGGGAAGTAAGGAAGGGTCTTCTTGTAATCCCTAATCTTGCAAAGGCTTCTGCTGAACTTTATGCAATATAGTTAATAAATAACAAATTGTGTTCCCATATAAATTTACATAGGAATTTAGTGTACAAAGTAAGTTTGTTTTTAATAAATTAAAATACTGGGACCTATAATATGTTTTCAGCTATTTGAATAAATTTGTTCTGCATTCTCTTAGTCCTTAGTACAAATAACGTAACAAGGAAGGAAACACACCAGCTGAATAATTGATGGTGTGATTGTGAAACTTCTCTTGTTCCTCAGGAGTAATCCTATAGTTTTAGAATGCTCTCTAGTAGAAGTAATAGAATTCAAGTAATTCTAAACTTCGTAATCTTGCCCTCAAGGATCATGTTTTCAGTATTATTTACTAGAAGCATGTACCGTGGGAAGGCATTGGTAAAGTCTATGACAAGGTAACAGCTGAAGCTAAAAGGTCAACAGATTCCTCAGTTTAGTATGGATGATGCCTGCATCTGCAGACATTGTAATTGTCTGAGAGCTTACAAAAGTTAGACAATTCTTCTCTTTCCAGCTTAAAGATTTTTAATTTTATTTTTTTCAGAACAGTTCCACATAAAACTAGAAAAAAATACCTCAGAAGTGCTGATAATTTTAAATCCCAGGGGGCTTATGTATATATATTTTATGTTTTCTTCACACTGTAAGTTTTTGCTGCACTAGAATTACTGAATGTATAGATATGTAAAAATCAAGCATTGTTTCTGTTGGTCTGTTACACACTGAATTCCTAGTAAGAGCCATGGATATCTTGAAGGACTGTGTTCCCCATAATGAAAGTTTAGAGTAGTGTGAAACTGTGCAGCAAAATCATTACTGTGTGACATTTTTTTCAGAAATAATCAGACACTTCACAAAGGGATAGTGAAAAGAACAGCTGTTTTCATGGAGAAAATAGTTAGTCCTGACATTTTGCCCTTACTTTTTTTTTTTTGGCTGTTCCTTCCATGATGCTCAACAGATCTAGATAAATTTATTGTTACAGGTAATTAAAATCAACTAACTTTGTCAACCCACCAGTCTTTGCTCGTAGGTACTCTGAAAAATATTGATAGTTTTCTTGTCTGTACTTCCATTTTATACATATTTAATAAGCCATGTCTGTGAATCTTTTTGCTCTTTAGCTTACCTGAAAGCAGTTTATTTCAAGTTCTCACACCATAAAAATTTTCCTTGCCCAGACAGAATTTGTTGAAAGATGAAAGGAAGACTAGAAGTCTGTCTGAAGCTGTGCTTGTTTTAGTGGTCTGAAGGCTATCTTCTCTGTTCAGTCCAGGATTAAATCTATCTTGACTGCAAACAGAAAACATTCAGAGTATGTGCTGGACCTCAGTTCTGATTCAAATTTGACACACATTTTACAAAAATGTACTCATGACATTTGCTGTTTTAGTGATGATTTATGACTAAACATTCATAACTGCCATTCTTAAATAATAAGAGAAAACTGCTTTGCAAACATGACTGATCTTCAATGTTATTAGTATGCAAATATCAATTAACATTAATATCAATATGCAAATATTAATGTAATATGTTCTGCACAGTTTATACAACTGCAATTGACCAGATTTTTCTGGTAATTATAACACTCGGAAGGATAATTTTAAGAAAAGTGTCATTTTATTTATACATTTAATTACACAAATATTGGCTATACCTTTTGTACAGAAATTTTAAATAGTAATAGGGTAAAATAGTGATTACAAATTAAAAGAAGCTTGGTAAGGGAACAAATTGAATTAAAGTTCAATGTTGTAATGCATTTTTAGAGCACAGCTTTGTTCTCTTGCTTTTTCCTAAACTTCTAAGATTCTTATTACAGCAGTCTTCCCTATCCAGTATCCACTCAGTTCTCAGTTCTGGTAAGCACTGTACAATGTAAACCCCTGCAGAACAATTCAGACATTTGAAATTTGTTGTGCCAGACTCTTTTAAAAGTTTATCTTTCACAGTGTCAACACCTGATGACTTCATTGGGACTTAAAATGGTATTTTACATCACAAAACTGGACTCTGAAAAGTAAGAGAAATAGAGAATGTAAGAGAAAACCTTGGTTTTAAGTTTGCATATCCTAACAGAAAATACTAGAGGTTGTGCAGAAACAAATAAAAATCGAAGTCTGGCTTTGATTGCAATGTACATTCGATTGCAGTTGTACAAACATTGCAATGGCAAAGTATCACAGTTGTTCTCTGGGACAGGAACACATGAAAGGCTCATGGGGTATAACTCAAGTACATATGCAAATATGTAAGGATATTTCATGCTGAATAAATGTCAGAAAATGATCTGTGAGATGACTGCAAGTATCCAACCCTTCACCCTTCCTGTAATTTTTTGTGTGTTTTTAAGGACAATCTAGAGAGCAAAGAAAGTGGAAATTGAACTGTCAAATTTGAAGCTAATAACTTTTGATTGAAAATGAAAACAGTTGTGGTAATGTAATAGGTTTTTTTCTTAAAAGAAGCTTCTTACTCCTCCACTTGAGGAAGTTGATAAATACTGTCTAGAAAATTACTAAATGAAAATTAAGAAAATAGAATTAGTTACACATGATAATTACATTATATGACTTTGTTGTAGTGGAGACCTCTGCATGTTTTAATCTCATTTTGAAACTCACAAGATGATCATGGTATATGAAGAGTTGATAGGGGTCAATTGGATTGGTAAGGTCAATCACAAATGCTTTGTGTATTTTAGATTCACAATTTATTTTTAATATTTCTTTTTCTATAGGGATGCCCTCTGCTTCTTTATTAGTTTATTTGCTTTTAGCGTTACTCATTCATTTCGCATCTGGAGAAACGGAAGTGAAGTTCAGTGGACAAACAGAATTTGTAGTCAATGAAACAAGTACAACTGTTATACGTCTCGTAATTGAAAGGACAGGGAAGCCTGCTAACATCACAGCAATTGTGTCGGTAAGAAAACATGGCAGCCATGTTCTCAGCAACTGTTGATAACTTTTTAAAAAGCTTCTTGGGACTCAGATACATGGAAAGTTGTGAGTGTGACTGATAAGAGAGAAAAGTGAGACCCACATAAACCCCCTTTGTTTCCTCTTCTGTGAACTTTGAATTTCACTGTTCTGAAAGGAGGAATAGGCTTTTTCACTATGCTTCTTTCAAGCCTTTAGCTTCTAAGAAGGACGATTCAGGTGTGGCAGCTATGCTGGTTCAGTGACTTCTCTCCATTTAGTCTCAGTGGAACTGTAAACTTAGTTTAGACCATTTGCTGTTTTTACATTACTGCCTTTGTAAACTCTCCTCTAATCACCTCACTTACAGTTGAACCAGGGGAATTTTCTTCTGTTGCCTGAGATGAAGGAAAGGAAGTTCTTTGTAGAAGACTTTATCTTGTGAACTTTGGTGACCAAATTGTTGATCTAGGTTGAATACCTAGGCTCCTTCCAGTGCTTAGAATGGAAGTTCTGCAGAGGGTAGTTTCACCCCAAGGTGAATTTAACTCATGTGGAGTATTATGAGGTGTACAGATCTGTGCTTCCTGTACAGGCATAACTTTTTCAATTAAAAAAAACCTTTTCATATGGTACATTATGCAAAAGATACCAAATTGCAGGGAAAGAAGTCATAACTGGTTATGAAGAAAGTGTTCTGTTTATTTTATTGGGTTTTTTTTACCCATTTACTCAGCATGAATAAAAAGCTTTGTTATCTATGTACCTTCTGTCTAGAAATTAACTATGACAGTAGGGGAAATTGTGGAAAAAATTATGTGAAACAAAGTGGGTATGAAGCCTGTTTGAGTGAGTCTAGGGTGATAATATAGAACGTATTGAAGGAGGAAGGAGATGGCATTTGGTTTTGTTTTTATTGCAGATTGATGGAGAAGACACAGGAGACTTTTTTGACACATACGCAGCTGCATTTATACCCGATACAGAAACAAACCGAACAGTGTATATATCTGTCTGTGATGATGATCTTCCAGAGGCTGATGAGACATTCACATTTCACTTGACACTACTGGTAAGTCTCAATTTTTCAGTGTATCTATTCCACAGAAAACAGTGGGTAATCTAGTATGGGTGAACGGTGTTTCATAGATTTCCGTGTAGTCTTACTGCTTATGAGAAATAGGTAAGAACTAAAATCTGGACTCCAAGCAGGATGATGCTTATTGTCCTTCAGAATGTTAGCATTTCGGTGGGTGTCTCTGTGTCATGTTGTTGTGCCTGACACTTGAGCAGGCATTGCATTCAGCTGTGGACATGTGGTGTACTGGAGCCTGGAAGAGTTAGATTTGGAAGACTCAGCCTTTCCTGTTTTCCTGCTAGAATGTGCATGGAGGAGAGGGTAGAGGGAGCAGAAAAAGAGGATGACTTCCAGTCCTCCAGAAGCAGAGGTTAAAGGTGACTTATCTAAACCCAAACAATTTTATAAATATTTACCAAAAAATTAATTCTCTATTGTTCTGTCTCACAGGAGTTACGCTACAAAAAAGAGGTTCACATTAATATATTTTTAGCTAACAGTTCATGACTAAGTAAGATGTCAGTTCAATAAAAATAAATTTTCTATTTCATTGTCATTATTACATGTCTATGGGGATGTTTGCAGTGAATATAAAAGTGCCTATTTTCCCTTTCTTTTTGTTTTGATTTGTAAATGTAGCTTAATTTTACAATGTAATAAAGACCTGCTTCTTATAGCTGCCGTCCCAGTATATCCTTTAGCTAGATATAGGCCTTATAAGTCCCAGTATATCCTTTAGCTAGATATAGGCCTTATAATAGCTTCAAAGTTTCAGTTTTATACAAATGTTAGGGGAAAAAAAAAAATAAAAACCTTTGGAATTCCTGGCAGTGTTAAATGCTTCATGTATGGTTTCCTATGACTGATATGCTGTTAATAATTGTTAAACTATTGTTAATCATTTGCAAAGTTTGTTTCAAGCACTTTATTGGCGACTCTTTAGATTCCATGGTAAATAGGAATTTGTGGATTCTATTGCTTTAATCTGTCACAGTAACAATTTTATCAAATGACAATGCCTTTGGAATAATTTCTTTTAACATGGTAAGACATTTTATATTTTAGATAAAATATAAGGGTATATTTTAGAACATTTTAGAAAACATAAGGTGAAATTGTTAAAGATGCTGATTAGTTATTCACCCAAATCCCTTGGAAGAAGATTGTGTATTACATCTCTGAAAACATCTCTGGAGATAATTCATACATATGTATGTATATATATACATATGTACAAGTTTAATACTTCTGTATGCTTTTAGGTGTTGAGATATTGCCTGAGGTCCTCAAACTTGGATGAATTTTTATGTTGCTCATCTAATTATAAAGCTTTTAGAAATTGTTTAGTCCCACTGCCCCTCAATATACTATGGAAAAAATGAGGAGTAATACCATAGGAAATTTAAAGAGGTGGCTTAGAAATTTTAAGAATATATACCTTTTTCCCATCTCAAGTGAGCAATTTTATATTTAACTCTAAAGCTGTAAGAGTAGTGTCATGATATATGCATAATATAATACCTTCTGGGGATAAGAGTGGTGTGACTCTAGTTGTGTGGAGAATATTTGCAATAATACAAAGTTTGTGTTAGCAGAAAGAGAAGCTATACTTTATTGCTGGAATTTTGGAAATTTACTTTTTAGAAGACTTCCCTGAAAAAAATCCTATATGAAAAATTTTTGGCACCACAATACTAAACCATGCTGCTTCCTGAAGTGCTGTGAGTCTTCGAAATCTGTCAGCTGTAACAGTTTGATACACAGACTCCATTGTCTGGTTACCTAACAAATGAGTTTTTAATGGAAAAAAACTATTTTTAATAGGATTAGGAACTCCACTAAATATGACCAGTGCTCATATGCCAGTGCTTAGTGTATTGTAACTGTGCTCATTTGCAAAAAAACCCAACAGAAAACCAGAAAGCCCACTCTGCATATATTATGATAATTTTTTAATCTCAAACCTTTCAAGCTTTTTATTAGCTGAACTAATTGGTTGCTAGGAAATGTATGCCATCAGCAGACTGGTTTGCAGATTGGATTAACTTGTCTGTGGGAGTTTGGTATTTCTATGGTAACAATTTTTTCCTTCTGCCGTGATACTTGATCTGTGCCTGATAGCCTGTCCCTTTTCTTCCTCATTAGTCTGCCTTAATCACAGTGAATGAACCTAGGGGCAGAAATGAATTTGTGCCTCTCACTCTAATTAGGGAGAGAGGAACCTACGGGACGGTCGTTGTAACTTTTGAGGTGAGTATATCAGAAAGGCTTCATACCTTTGTCTATCAGATGAAGCTGTGAAACATAATAATAACTTATCAAAGTGTTTATTGCAGTGAAAGGACTAAATACCTAAGTCTACATTTGATAATTTTGTTTCATAAAATGGAAAGAAACTACCTTTCAATTATCTAACTGCTTAATTTAGAAAAAGTGAAGATATATTAAATATGAGTATTTGTGTCATTTAGAAAGATATTTGAAGCATCATTTCTTCGTAATATTAGCAAACAATGTCTATTGAGTGTGCAAGAAATTTCTTATATATTTTTTCAAAATTTATAAATACCTTGGTTCTTTTGATGGTGCTTGTGCCACCTTCAAACATGTAGAACTCAATGTTCAGTGAAATTCTGTATCTATAAGACAGCAGTTTGAATTCACTGGCATTTAAACCTTTCAAAATCATTACTTGAATATTTAGGCCATTACTCACATACTTCATGTGAATGGGATATACTCATTGCCTTTATTGTGAGGGGGGGGTGGATTTTTTTCCTTGTTTAGCTCTGATTCTATTACATTCTTTAAAATTACAGGTAATTCTTTTTCACATCAAAATTTCTTTATCAGTTGTCATCAAAGATTTAATCTAGGTGTGTCAAAATCTCAAAACATTTGTACTGGATGTTATTGCATACTATACATACATACATAAAGCATGTGTAGATAATGTTCAGTGGTTATGTTATGTATTGCAGATACGTTTGTTTTAAAATCCATTTTTATTTTATAATTTTATAATATACATATATATATATATATAATTTTATAATAACACATTTTGCTATGTGCACAATTTATCAGGATAATCTCAAAATGTAGTTTATATACAAATATATAAAATTATTTTGAAAAAACATTGCAAGATTTTCTAAAACAAAGTAACATACTACCTCTATCTGTCTTAGTATGTTCATGGAATTGATTAGGAAATGTTAGTTAAATTAAAAGAGAAGGACTATCCCTTTCTGTTACTTAAACAAGTCAGTTATGCATTAGTAAATACCAAAGAGTTCTCAAAGGCCTGTGTGGAAATACTTTTCTTCCTCTTTCTCTGGCAGTACATGACTTCTTCAGAGTGCCTTCTCTGATTTATTCCATCTGACAAAAAAGAGTAGATTTTCACAACTGAATATGTGTGCATATGATCAGGAGGTGACTGAATAAATAGCAATTTCTTATGCATTTCACACACTGTATATTAACTATTGTATTAAATTTTTATGTATGTTCCATGTATTTCTTATCATAAAAATCAATTATTTGCAGATAGAAGATGGACCAAACTCAGCTGAAGAAGACTTAAGTCCAGCCAGAGGAAATATTACATTTACCCCTGGGAGATCAGTGTTGGTTTATAATTTAACAGTACTTGATGATCAGGTAAAAACAAGCTGACATTTTTGTTTGGATGTATAGGTTGACTGCTGTTCTAGAGGGTCTTAGCATATTATGTTATAAAAATACTTGTTTTAGAAAGGGCTACAATTCCTTCTGCTTCATAAAGTGCTGTTCAGTTTTGTCTCTGTGGGTTGTCATTTTATCTTTTTAATGTTGCCTCTGTATTTCTCATCAATTAATTTTTTTAGTTTCTGAACATACCCTGACTGCTCTGATTAGATTGTTAGGTGCTGTACAGTAAAAGTATAAATTATCAAGAAAGCATTATATTTTTTTTCGCATGGAATGGTGAGGTTCTTGTATTGTCAAGGTTCATCTATTAGACTGACCTTTCTATATTTAACTTTTCAGTGTGAACATGATACTGAACAACTTGATAAGGAAATTCACTAAAAAAAAATACATAGGGAAAAAAAATGTCTGTGTTATAAGTGGGAAACTTTAAAGCAATTTTTTTGCATATTTCTGTTAATTTTTCTGTTTTGTTTAACTTTCAACCCTCTTTCAGAAGAGTGTTTTGGGAAATAGAGACATCACATTTTGAAAGGAGATTTTTATCAGAAGTTAAAAGCAGGACTGTTCTGTTTTAATATGAAATGAGTTTTCAAGTTGGTATAATTTCAGCCTTCTGCAAAATGCATAAACCATTTTTCTCAGTATAAGTGTTCTGCATATACTTGAAATGTAACTTACATATAGTTGTTAATACTATTTTTCCAGGTACCTGAAAATGATGAAATCTTTGTTGTTCGTCTGAAGAGCGTGGAGGGAGGGGCTGAAATCAACAACACAAAAAATTCTGTGTGGATTAATATTAGGAAAAATGACAGTCCTGTGCGTTTTGTTCAGAGTGCTTATATGGTGCCTGAGGAAGATGAAGTGGTAACAATCCAAGTGGTTCGTGGTAAGGATGTCAGTGGAAAATTAATTGGACCTGATGAAGACGAAGTCTCTGTCAGTTACGCCATCATAACTGGGGATTCAACTGCACATGCACAGCTTAATGTAGACTTCCTAGATCTACAGCCAAATACAACTCTTGTTTTCCCACCTCTAGTTCATGAAACATATTTGAAATTTAGGATCCTTGATGATGCCATACCAGAAATTGCTGAGACCTTTCAGATTATGCTTCTTAAAGACACTTTGCAGGGAGATGCTGTTTTGATTTATCCATCTGTTGTTCATGTCACTATCCAGCCGAATGATAAACCCTATGGAGTGCTGTCAATCAACAGTGTTCTGTTAGCTCACACTGTTATCATTGATGAAGACCAAATTTCAAGGTACTGCAGATCTTAAAATCTAGTATCTAGTCAATTTAAGAGATTTGTTTATAATTGTTAAGCACTGTTATGATATCACTAAAGTAATTATAAAATCACTCCTAAAATATAATGTAGTAATCACTTAGTGTGTTGTTATTATTGGCTATATCCACAAAGATTTCAAGGAAGTGGGAATGTCTAATTATACAGAAAGTATTTTAATATCTATAAACTATGTATGTAGGTAAATAAACCATAACTATTTAATTACATTATCAGAATAGTGAAAACTCGTTAGGATCAGTGAAGATGTAGTACTGCTACACACAGTTTCAGTGGGAAATAGATTTCTGTATTCCACTCTTGGTGTATATTTGTATTTACTCTCTGTGAAACCAGTCTCTGATTAAAGAAAAAAAAATTCAGTGTCTCCCATGAAATAGTTACCTTAAACTCAAAAACAATTTCAATATTTGTAATTTTACAGGGAGATTAAAATCAAAGCTCTGTACAAATTTTATAGGCAGACTGATACACAGTATTGATAATCTCAATAAAAATGTCTATTGCTAATTACCATCCCCAAAGAAATAAATAATGCCTCAAACTATCATACTGTGAGAAATTTTGAAGTAATATTTTATGGTATATAGGGCCCATTCAAATGAATTGAGGATTCATTTTTCCTTTTTATACACAGTAAAGAACTAAGTCCTACTTTCAATGTGTTTTCAAGTAATGATTTTCAGACTTTTTGTTGTAGTCATGCACTTGGCAGATGCAGGCAACATGACATTTCCAGTGTTATAATTATCAGTAACTGAATATATTTTTAGTACAAACAGTTCATTATTTCAATGGTCATGCCTCATACCTGCTCATGATGTAGAATAGGCAAAAACGTTTTCTGAAATGTTTTTGTATTCCTCAAGACAAATGTAAAACATGCCAAGATTCCACTAAACAGTGTTTTTCTTGCTGTATTCAAAATGAGATCTAACAAGTATCTTCAGAGATTTTACAGAGAGCTCATGAGTAAATGCTCAAGCCTTCCATATGTGTTATGATTTCACAAACTGTAAGCCTTGAGTCAAATGTCAGTTGCAAGCAGCTAACATTTATACCACTTAGGTCAGTGTAAATATTTTAGGGAATTGGTAATCATGCTTGCCAATAGTAATTATGGTTTGTGGGTTTTTGTTTTTGTTCAAAACCTTAGGTTTGAAGGGATCACAATTGTAAGAAATGGTGGAACACATGGAAATGTTTCTGTTTCCTGGGTTATAATCCGAAATAGCAGTGATCCTTCACCTGTGACTGCAGACCTACTTCCAGAGGCGGGGGAGGTAACTTTTGATCAAGGTCAGATGCTGGTGACCCTTCATCTGGACATTATTGATGATGATATACCAGAAGAGGCGGAGCCTTATCTTCTGAAACTCCTAGCTCATACAATTCAGGGTGGTGCAGAAGTCAGTGAGCCATCTGAGGTAAGCTCACTTTTAGAATTCTTTTGGAGGGGATACTAATGAGTAATAAAGACTTTACCAGTTTTAATAAAATTGATTGATTGATTCGTTCATTGATGGATTAGCTGAACAGGTGAAAGGGTTTGGTTTTAGATAAAAGGCAAGAAAACTGATCCTTAATATAGTCTTAATGTATAGAGCCATATCTAAAGTATTTCACTGAGTATAGTCTACAATGTCAGACATTTTTACTGTGGTAGCATTCAGTTCAGATTATTCCCAGTCTGCAATGATAGCATTGAATAAATGTTGTATCAAGTGACTGCTTTCTAACAGAAGGCAGGAAAATTATTTTCACTTGCTCATTTGCTGTTTAAATGATTTACTGCAATGTTTTACAGAGCAACAACTTCAAGGAGAAGGTTTCATGATTGAGACTGTAATCTTGGAGCTATTAGATAAAGAGTGGCTGGAATTGCTGACAGTACTGTGACTTGAGTCCCTGCTTTGTCTGTCTCAAAAATAGTTGGAATGAGCTTGGTGAATAAAAAGTTCTTTACAATCTGAAACATTTTAAAATTATTTATTTTGGCTGCTGAACCAAAAAAATCAGTTGTTCAGAATTCATTCTGGCATTTGTGGTGATGCATATGGGAAACTACCGCACTTTCAGTGCAGTGTTTCTTGCGTATAAAGAATACTTTGGGACTCTCAATCTGATTTCTTTCTTGATGGCAGTTCACTAAGGAGAAAAATACATGGTGACAGTCAGGAGACGCTTTTGTGAAGACATGAAGCTATAGTATAATGCAGCATATTGTTTTCTGCTTTGCAGCTTCTGTTTTACATTCAGGACAGTGATGATGTTTATGGCCTAATAAAATTTCATCCTTTGGAGAATCAGAAGATTGAAAGTAATCCAGTGGGACGCTTTTTATCCTTGAGTTTTGCGAGAGAAAGAGGAACAGTTGGAGATGTGCAGTTGGTTTTTACTGCACTGTATATTCCAGCTGGAGCTCTGGATCCTGAGAGAGCAAAAGGTGGCATTCTAAATATGTCTAGAAGAAGTACTCTCACCTTTCCAGAAGGAAAAGCACAAGCTACTGTAAATATACCAATACGAAATGATGCATTTCTTCAAAATGGAGCTCACTTTGTCATACAGGTATCTCAGCTGTGTTCTGGGGGTTTTTTTAGCCCATGTAATATAAAGGATATAAAACAGTAGTGGCTCATTCCCTTTTAATTTAATTAAAATAATTTTACCTGATTAAAAAAATAAAAAAATAACATTATTATTTCTGTTGCCAAGAAAACTCTTCTATTTATATACATCTTCCAAAAATATCCCAAAAGGAGCTAATTTGTAGTTATTTACTTATTACACCATTTAAAAAAATACAGTGTTGTAATAGGGTTCAGTTATTAATCATGAAATTTAACAAAATTGTATCAGTGTTGCAGAGGTTAGTTACCTTTTCAGGTATGTTATTGTGTCTACCCCTTGGCTTTTGATTTAATTAAACTTAGGCTCCTAAATTACAGAAGTATGACAGATTTTAGAAATCAAAAGCAAGGAAATATAAATAGTCAAACATATGTTTAATTTATGTGCAACTTTGACCTGGGAATTGAAAAGTTCTTCTAGTTTCCCCTGTATGTGACCTTTTGTTATTTTTCATTCTCTGTTTTTTGGGTTTTTTTCTCTATCTGAATATGTAAGAAGGGAGATTATGCCGTTGTTCATAAGACTGGCTGGAAAAATTCACTAAAACTGTTTTTGAAAGAAAATGGGCTTTCCACAAAAATGTTTTAAGGAAGATTTTTTTATTTTCCAATTTTTTTTCTTCATTTCCCACTGGAGAAACCAGATTTGCATACATGTTAGCAAGTTATTGTTCAGATATGCTACTGTGGGAGATTCTGGGCATTGCAATCAGTAATTTTTATACTTATTTTCTCACCTGCAGTTAAGGCCACTGCATAATCTCTACTTCCTCTGATTAACTGTTGTGACTTTCTGGGATCATGAGCCCAGAGAACAGTCCTGATATACAGATAAAGGGGTGCCTTGGCACAACCAAAGCAGAAATCTCAAAGTAATTTCTTATTCTTTTTAGTCCTTTCATTTTAAGTCAGGTGTCTTCAAAATTTCCAGATGGAGATGTTGATGTGAAATCATAAATGTAAAATTTGGTTTTTTTTCTTTAATTTATAGTCTACTAAAGATGTTTTAATTACTTGAAAAGATTTCTTCCCTCCACCTCCTTCTCCCTACTCCCTTCATTCTAGTGAAAAAAAAAAAAATAAAAGAGAGAGTAAAAAAAGGTATTGCCAGAATAGTTTTCTCGTTGCACACTTTTCTGTGTTCACAGCTGTTGTAGGGAATACATAGGGAATATTGTAGGGAATATGATTCTGAAATACTAGAATATGTCAGTGTGTTTTACCATTTTCATGTGATCTGAAAGATAACAGAAAAACTGAAATATCTAATTCCAAGCTCCTATCAGGTGATAGATTACAAATAACATCGCAGTGTGGACTATGGACAAGATGTGTGACAAGTATTTCAATATGCAGGCACTTGGCCTGGCTTTTCAATCTGAAGATTCCAGGGAGACACTGTGTATGTTCTGTATTTTCTCCATGAACTGTAAAAGTACTTTGAGTACTCAAAATCAGAGGCAACTTCTAACACAAATAATTCCTTTAGAAAAGGAAGAAAAATACCCCTATTTATCACTATAACAAGCCTTCATTTTAAAGAATGAAGGATTGTAATAACTTGTAATTAAATGATAATCTAAATTGTAAATAAATTATAGTCTCAGCAAACATGTTTAGAAGGAGATTACAGAATTTTTACTAGGCCCAGTAAAGGATCAACTCGGGAATTGGGGAAGGAGAGACGGAGGAAGAAATGAAGTTTAAACACAAGGGAACAGATAGAGCAACTGGAAATGTGAGCTTAGCATTCTTCAGTGACATCTTCAATTAAATAACCTGTTTGATGTACAGACTATTTTTGGTATGGACTGACAGATTAACTAACTTAATAAACTGCTCATCATTATTCAGTTCACAGTGCATTCTTGTTCTCCTCTTGAAATGATTTGTTTTACAAGGAAAAACTGAATTAAAAAAAAAACCCAACAATATTTCATTAATTATTACTTTAATCTCAAAGTTGCTATCCAGATAGTAACAAAGGGAATTCTGCCAGCTCTGTAGTATTTCAGAACTTTTAGTGAGCTAACAACCACAACAGTGATCCACCTGCATGGTGTTAATGGGAGAATTAGCTCCTAATCTTTGAAAACAAGGAAACAAATGGAACCACTTTCTGTTCCTCAGAATCCCAATAACTAGCTTGTATGGTTGAGAATCAATTTCTAATTACAGTATTTATAAAGCAAATTCCATCTATCATCAAATAAAATGTGAATGAATATTTTTGAGTGTTACTTGAATAGCAGTAAAACAAAGTATGATACAGTCCAAGTATTTTAGGTAGATTGGTTTTAAGGATCAATTGGATTTAAAACTCATCAATTGAAAGGATGATTCATAATAACTATATGGATTTAAGTAAGGTTATTTTGCCCTTCTCCACTAAAACCTATATGGCATCTAATGACTCCAAGCAAAAACATCCTAGTAGGAGTTAAAAGGTGGTTGTCATCAGTGGTTCATGTACCAGTGAAATGTTTAGAAAAGTATATACAAATCAGTCATGGAAACATCTGTTATTATCATCCATGTAGACAGAATTCCATAGTGTTATAAATGATATTTGGAAGGGATAGTAAAACAAGTAAAACAAGGAAAGTCCTGCTTTCCTTGTTATGTCAATGGTGCTGATGTGCTAAGTGAGTGCTATTTTCTATTCAAAGATAGAATAAACATTTTTTCTATTTCTTCTTAGTATACATAAACCATCAAAAGTATAGTAATATAAGAGGAGATTACAGTTTTGAAATCTAGTACTGATTTTCAATTCTGAATGTAACTCTAACATATTAGTTATTGTAAATAGACAAGTCTTTACATCTTTTTGAGAGAGGAAAGAAGACTGAATCACTCTTTGGCTTCATGAGACGGTCTAAATTATTGTTTCCAGCAACTTCAGCAGATTTTTATCAATGCATGACACAAACCTGAAGTTAGAACAACATTTGGGTGCTTGGCAGATCAATTAATAGATCTAGTAATGAATTACCCAGTTAATTCTCCCTCTGCATACATTTAGTTGTGTACCTGATTTGTCTATGAGGTATAACATTCAGCTGTGGAAGCTCAGTACCGTTCACTTCATTTCTTACACAGCTACTTACATATCTTTGTAATAGCAACGTTGATGGTAGGAGAAATTTATTCTGTAGGTGTTTTGCTCCTTGCATATGACACTTATTCCCAGATGTAAGAATAGTTCTTGCTTGGTACTCAGGCTTCTTATTTTTGAAGTTTTTCTTACTTTTTCTTACAGCTGGAAAAAGTTGAGCTGCTGAACAGAATCCCTCTTGTCCCACCTGTGAGTCCTAGATTAGGTGAAATTCGGAATATTTCTTTGAGGATTACTCCAGATATTGCAAATGGAGAAATAGGCTTTACTAGCAATCTTCCAATTATTCTTTCTGAGCCAGAAGACTCACCTGCTACAGTGGTAAGTAAACATTTTTATATTGTCCCTTACTATGGAAAACTTATTTGGAGAAAGCAAAGCTTGCTACGTCCACTGTAACATTTGAAAATTAATGGGAGGAAAATCCATCCTCCAAGCTCAATTTTTTTCTCCAAGTATTCTCCTGCTTTAAAAAAACAGAAAGGCAAAAAATTGCTAGCAAGATTAATATGTTTGTCATCTGAAAAGTATTCTCTGTAAGAATCTAGAACTGGTTAGGTCTTGATGGTCACATGGAGCAAAAGATGCTGCAGAGAGTTTAATTTCTTTCACCATCTGCAAAGACACTCTTCTAGAGTAGGACTGATTTTGATCCCAAATTTCATAAAAATATCTGTATATTTTAATGTTGACTTACATGTGAATATGTAGTTTGGCTTGCTGGGTATGTTTTCTAATAAATATAGGGTTTTTGTTTCTCATAAAGCATTTTCAAAAGCATTGTCAACCATCTCAATGCTGTTATCCCAGCCAGATGTAATCCCTTTATAAAGTATCTTCTCTTACATTTTCCCTTCTTCCCCCTACTTGTCTTAACGGAGGTCTTCCCTCAAGTCCTGAATCAGAGAATTTGCTTTTCATCCTCAGAATAAAACTGCTGATTTCCTTAAGCAGAGTACAAGCTGGAACTGTACTATAACAGCCAGAGTAAATTATGGTGCTTACATATAAAACCTAGATTGTCTTGATGAGGTGGGCACTGGTTAAATCTGTCCTAGAAGTGTTTTTGTGTTTATGAACACTAAGTGATTTGTCATATTAATAATCTGCCACCTCCACTAGGTATATATAACATATATGTCCAAGTATATAATGGATAGGTGATTAAAAATATTAGATTCATTGATAAAACATTTGATTATGATTTTGGTTTGATTTCAGATCTTATACATAGGCATAAATAAAAAACCCAAGATGAATATTTTAAGGCTCATATTCAAACAGTAATTTGCAAAGAGTTAATTGTTTTTACATCTAGTTTTGCAAGTCACAGTGGACTCACGTGCTTTGCAGGTTTCCATTCCATTGCATCGAGATGGGACTGATGGTCAAGCAACAGTGTTTTGGAGTTTGAGACCCTTTGGTCCCAATCACAAGGCAGTAACACCGGATGATATAAGTCCTTTTAATGGCTCTGTTTTTTTCTTATCTGGACAAAGTGATACTACAATCAACATTACTGTTAAAGCTGATGATATACCTGAAATGAACGAAACCGTGTTATTAACTTTGGACAGGTATTGTACCCTATTTACTCATATGTACCACTTGCTATACTCAATCTATATATAAAAAATTGGCACAGTATTAATTGTGAGGTGTTGCCTCCACTGTGTTGATAAATGCCTGGAGGAATATTGTGCCCTTGATTCGGACTGTGTATGAAATCTTCTTTGACTCGTGATCAATGTAAGAAGCCATATTGTGCTTATTATCTTACAACTTAGTTTTGTTTATATTTTGATTAAAATAATGGATATTACTAAAAAGTTCATTTAGCTTTGATCTTTAGTTATAGCTCTTGATTATAACACTTTCGTTTTAAGAAAAATAATGTTTAGTGAGATAATGGGGAGAGCTGTAATAAAGATTAACTCAAGTAATACATAACTGTGTTTTTCTCAGAAGAGGTTTATAGGCAGGATGTCGTATTACCCTGTACCTCACCTACAAAGGTGTTTCTGAGGCACTGTTGTGGTCTCCCTTCCATGTGACATCAGGATTGCAGGATAATTAAGGCTGTAAGAGGCCTCAGGAGATATTATCTGTATGTGAGCACTACTCAGAATACTTGAATTATTTCATATCCAGCAGCCTTTTAGGAGAATCTTGGAGATTCTCCTAAAAGCCAGGAGAATCTTGGCTATTTCTTTACTCCTGCTTCCAAAAATTTAGATGTATATGTAGTTTAGGAATACTATCACTTCTGCTAATACCTCCTAATAATCTAAGGTATATTTTTCTCATTTATTTTTCTGGAAACGTGCTAGGATATGTCTGTCAGCTGCAATGTCTGCATTGAACATCTACTACTTACACAGTCCTTACCTTATCCTTGTTGTATATAGGAAGGGCAGACTAGCTCATGGGAACTTCTAATACCAGGGACACATGTGGATTACATACTTGCAAACCAGAAAGTAACTCCTCAAGCTTGTTGATGCTGTTTTTTGAGCATTGTTATATCACACAGGAAGGATGCTGTTCTAGTGCAGGACTGGTCTGTTTCTGTAGAAGGTGGCTGGTGGATGCATCTAGTGCACAATTAATTGTTTCATTCTATTTTGGGTTGTCACTGTATTGAAAAGAAGGTCCTCCAAGACAAAAACAAGTAGAGACTATTGCAGGCAGTTCTCTGTTTTAGTTCCTGTGGATGAAACTGATTTGCCTGTAAGTTTGTTTGTGTCTGTGGCACAAAGAAACTAGGATTAGAAATAATGATTGAAGTTGTGAAGAACTTGTGTAAAGTGGCAAAAATGCTGAAGTGGAAGGATAGGAGTACAGAGAGGAAGTTGGCAGCATAAAGTATTTAACTTTTTTAATATTGGACATCTCTGCAGTGTGTGTAACTACGGCTTTCTACCACTTACTCTTATTAGTGACCCCATGCCTTGAAAATTATGTCTAAAAGGGGACTGAGTTGGCAGCTGAACAAATGCATCCACTGTTCTTCTTTTTCTATGTATGGTGGGAGTAACAAGTTCTCTTGATCATGAAGTGGCTAGTAAAAATTTTGCCAGCAGTAAGCAGCTTTCCCACACTTGGCAAGGTCAGACAGTGAAGTAAGGAGAAGATAGTCTGGCCAGAAAAAGGGAAAAAACAAGGAGTAGATAAAATCTGAACTTTCTCTAGACCTCGATAGTGTCTCTCAAGGCTACGAGTGAAATTTGGCAACTTTAACGTGAGCAGAAGCCAAGAATGAAATATCTGCAAAGATCATCCTTTCAGTACTGGAGGTGACTCTTCAAAGCAGGGGTGAATGATACTGGCAGGGTGATGCGTATAAGCTTTTGGTATTGCCTCCTACATAGTTTGTATTTTCTAGATGAACAGAAGATTTCAGTTTCCAAGACTGGCAGCCAGCACCTCACAGCAGTAGTGAATTACCATGAAAACAAAGATGCACTGTGCTGTGGATGTGCTTGCACTGTTTGATAAACTGTAGCATAAGTCAGTAGAAAAATAGAGCATGTACGGACTTTAATGAAACTGTAGACATAGACATATGTTCATAAGCATTCTATTTATTGCATTTAGTAATAGCATGTGCAAAATAATACGATAATTAGTTCCAACAAGGATGTATTATTTACAACTCAGTGACGTTGTTAAGGCAGTTTATGTTTTAAATGAGCTTTGATTGTACCCATAATTACAAAAGAAACCTTCCAAGCCATTAAAAATTGACTCGATCTTCTGGAGTGTGACCCGGCTAGCTCAGTGATGAGGTTTCTCTTCACTGGAGTTTTGAGCCAGCTTATGTTTGTGAGATTCACTGATTTTCTTCAAGAATTCAAGTCTATAGAGCGAGTAAAGAAATCAGGGGGGGACTCTCTCTCTGGTTTGCATTCCACAGTTTATTTCTGTGAAGGGGAATCCAAGGGACGAGAGACAAAGGATTTGGGGTCTGGGGGGTCTCTTTTAACAGGGTTTCTCGGAGGGAGGGAACATCAGAGAGAGAACCAATTATTTTTCTCAGTTAGTACGTCTTACAAACTTTCTACAAATCAAGGTTACACACACCAAGATAAGAAATAACAGACACCAACTTCTTCAAATGCCCACAGAGGGGCAGCGGAGGAGAGAGGGGGGGCCTGGTTTCCTGGCAGCACAGGGGGAAAGAAAGGCAAGGTAAGCATGCCCTCACAGCTTCCATAGCTCAGAGGCATTCTGGGACAGGAAAAACAGAGTTACAAACTTCCGTGTTGGAAAGAAGGGTTCTCTTCTCTCAACCCCGTGCTTTCCTGGGCTAAAGAAACTTCAAGCAGCTGGAAATGCCAGCGGGGTCCTCTCTTTACTCTATCCGGCCTCTCGCCGTGGGGCTGAGGAGAGAAACTTCAGTAACCATGGTAACTTGACACCAGGTAAACAATTAGGAAAAAGAGAAGCTGGGGGTGAGGGGAGAATCACAAATAAAAGATAGGAAAAGATACATTTCAGGCTATCAACTACAACAAAAAATGATGTTTTGTTTCCTTGCTCTATGGCCACCAACTATAGGCCCTGGGTATTAAAAATTCGAATGCTGTCCACAAAATGGAGGCCAAAGTATGAAGAATATATAATATGAAGCATATATAATATTTTTTAATATATATATATATATATATATATATATATATATTATAATATAATACCTGGAAGACAGATGAGCCATAAAGAAGCGAGATAATCCTGTACCTACTGAAGTTTCTTCCTATTTTCTTTCTTTAGGACCAGCTTCAGTTTCAGAATGCCTGCCTTTTCAGATGCCTGCCCTTACCTTAGTAGTCCTGAACTGAAACAAAACATAAATAAAGCTAGAAGTCTGTAGTGAGATCTGATTGTTGTTTTTAAGTTTAGATCAAGAAATTCTGCTATTGGAATTCATCATGCCCGCAGTGCAGATAAACAGCCATAAATTTGGAAATTGGCACAACTGAAGGGCCAGCACCCTCATGGCACATGGATTGTGTTTGTTTTCTTAAGTGAATGGAGCTGAGAGTGAAACCTCTGGACTTTAGGTTCTGGAAACAGCAATACCCAAATGAATTTATTTTTATTTTGGGAAAATTAAAATCCAGGAACAGCTGAGTGTTTAAATAGTTTATGCTCAGAATCTTTTGGTCATGACTCCCATAAATTAAGATGCCAGAACAGATCTATGTACATATGTATGTATCTAATTCATTTATATAACATATGTTCAATGTTCAATGAAGCAAAACTGATGCAATGTAATGTGGAAAATTTTACAGTTCCAGTGATTTCTCTGATGTGAAATCACTGATTTCAGGCTGAGGAACTTAACACCTTCTTTGCCTTAGTCTTCAGTGACAGTAAGACCAATTATTCTCATGGCAACTCATCGCCTGAGCTGGTAGGCAAGGTAGAAGAGCAGAATAGACCCCCTGAAATCCAGGGGGAAGTATTTACTCATTGGCAGAGCTATTTAGGTGGTCACAAGTCTATGGGACTGATCCATGCTAGGGTAATGAGGGAGTTGTTGTAAGAGCTCTCTAAGCTGCTCTCCATCATTTATCATCAGTCGTGGCTATCTGGGGAGGTCACAGACAAAAGGGGGTTTAGCCAGTGTGATGCTCATTCACAAGAATGGCTGGAAGGAGGATCTGGGGAGCTACAGCCAGTCAGCCTGATCTTGGTGCCTGACAAGCTTATGAAACAGATCATCTTGAGTGGGGTCATACGATGCCATGGGCGTAGGAGGGGCAGGTCCTGCCTGATCAATCTGCTGCTTTTGCAATCAGGTGACATGCCTGAGGGATCGGGGGAAGGCTGTGGATGTTGTCAATCTGGACTTCAGCAAAGTCACTCTGTCCCACAGCACACTCCTGGAAAAGCTGCAGCCCATGGCTTGGACAGGAGCACTCTGTGCTGGGTTAGGATCTGGCTGGATGCTGGGCCCAGAGAATGGTGGTGAGTGGGGCTGCATCCAGCTGGGGGCCAGTCACCAGTGGGGTCTACCAGAGATCAGTGTTGGGCCCTGTCCTGTTTAATATCTTTATTGAAGATCTGGATGAGGGGATTGACCTTTAGTAAATTTTTGAATGACGCCAAGTTATATGGGATTGTTGGTCTGCTGGAGGGTAGGAGGGCTCTTCAGAGGGACCTGGACAGGCTGGCTTGGTTGGCTGACACCAAGGATTTGAGATTCAACAAGACCAAGTCTTAACTTAGGCAACAGCAACCCCATGCAGAGCCACAGGCTACAGAAGAATGGCTGGAAAGTGTCCCAGTGGAAGAGAACACTTTTTGGGATACCTGATAGAAAAGTTTTTTAGAGAAGCATGTTTTTAAGAGTAACAATAATACAAATTCATGGTTGCTGAATTGCAGGGCTCAAAACTGAACACAGCATTCGAGTGCTGCAAACCTATGACTTGCATTTACACTTTTTAAAAAATTATTTTCTAAATTTTTGTGTTTAAGAGACTACTTCATGATAAAAAAGTTTGCAAATCATGGTAGAGACATTTAAAGCACTGCATACTGTCTATGTGCCTTAATTCAGGGCATAAGTAAAGCTGTTTAATAGAGTTTGAAATATTTTTCTAACTTGGGGATTTCCTGTTGTTAGTGCCTATTTCAAAACTATATTTCTTTTCCTTACGTAATTTTTTAATGAAGAAATATATGTGATGCTATAAGAATTATGTAGTTCATTGTAAAATGTTGGATTTTGCTTCACAGCTTTGGTCAGATCTTGTTTTGATATAGAACAAGTTATTTTAAACTGGTAATAGAATGTTTGTATGAGTGTTACTAGACACCTACTACTAGCTTTCATTGCTTTTCAAAGTAGTAACACTGTATATCTTCTGCTATGAATAAAGTTGAAGTAGCCTCCAAAATCAAACAAATTGTGGATTAAACCTGGAGATAAGGTGTTACCTCTAATGAGAAACACTGTGGAATTTGTAATGTGGCAAATCCTCCTCGAATACTATTCTGTAAAGCTAGGTCACTAATTAAATGAGTAGATAATCCTATAGAAAATGAAATAGTGAACACAAATTGAGGAAGCAAATTGACTAACTTTCCACAAGTAGTTTGAATACACCTTTTCTGAGATACCTGAAAGAAGAGAAAGATTCTAGAAGAGTGTGTTTTTCAGAGTAACATTAATAAAAATTCACAGCTGCAAATCAGTTTCTTGTGGACTTTTCAAAATATTCACTTTCTTCAGAAACTTCCAATTCTTGGTTCAAAGTTATCAAATTTAAACACATCTCTTAATTATTATTTTATTTTCAATAGTATTTATTTCATAATTGTCATGTTATTTTAAACTTTAAATCTGTCATTATTTAGAACTATGCATTTAAAAAAAGTGAGGAAACATTTCGAAGCTTCTCTTAGTTGTCCTGATTAATCTGTAGTTCTTGTAAAGTAATAATTAAGGTATTTTTGAAGAGCAGACTTCTGTGATGACTAGCCTTTTCAGATGTGATTTGTCATTTGGGAAGTGGGGGCAGCCTTCAGTCCAGGGCATAAGGCAACATCATAAGACCATAAGGTGGTGGGGCAGGCTAAGCCAGGAACACACATCAAGTTTGGATGATGGTTACCAGCATCAGGCAAAGCTCAGTGATTGCCAGGCAAGTACACAGCAAGAAGAAAAATCCAGGGATGAGTCAGGAAGTCACTTGATGGATCTTGGTCCAGGATTGATATGAAAACTTGTGTATGTATACCTCAGAATGTAGATATGAAGGATCTTGTTGTGTTCATTGCTCATGTAATGGCAAATCTGAGTTGGAAGTCTGTGCCTCGTGGCTTTTATTCTGTTTTGCATAAGCTGCATTTTCATGGAGTCACAGAATAAGCAAAATTGGAAGGAACCCATCAGAATCATCAAATCCAACTCCTGGGCCTGCATAGGATGCCCCAAGAATCACACTGTGGGCCTGAGGGTGTTGTCCAAAAACTTCTTGAACTCTGTAAGACTTCGTGTTGTGACTGCTACTCTGGGGAGCCTGTTCCAGTGCCCAACCACAGTCTGCTGTTTTGGAATACTAACCAACATGTAGTATGTCAGAGCACTGGTAGCAACAGGCCAGTTATGCAGGGAAAGCAGGGTCAGATCCATCAGTCAGTCAGTCAAATGACCCTAGTTTTGAGAACTTGGCTGGAGAAAAATCCAAGATAATGGTGTTTTTAGCAGTGAATGGGCTGAATCTGACTAGTTGCTTTCTAACTTCGAAGTTCTCTTGATTCTGGTCTGATTTAAACTGTGTCTGTTAAATGGTAGTTTATCACCAGTCTTCTCAGTCCTTTCAAAGTATACCTGGAGATGCTCAAAGTACCTCCTCATGGTACCCTGGGATTGTTTAATTTCTGCAACCACTTGGATTTTGTTAGAGCCTCCATTGTGCATTACATGATACTAGATTCTAGCATGACTCCTCAGTTAACAGGCCCTTTTTTGTCTGAGCTCTCTTTGGACTCATGCAGTCTGATTTGATGAAGATGAAAGAGGTGCTATGTCTGGCATGCCCTTTCACTTTTTGATGATTTTGTCTTAACCACTTAAGCTTTTCATACATACCAAAAACACACTTGATATAATGGTTCATTTGTATTCTCTGCTGTGAAATAAATTGCCAACAGTTTTGTGATACAATTAAATTTTACAATTAAGAGCAATATAATAAAAAGCATAAATTTTAGCTCTGGAATTTTCACCTTGACTTTTTTAATTAGTATTGGTATTGGTATTAATGCTTGATGATTTTGGAAAACTTTCATACAATTCTGATGGAGAGGAAAATGTCTTTATATATAGTATTTAAAATATCAAGCCTCATTTGAAAAAACTAAGAAATTTCTATTAAATCAGATCTCCTATTTGAAAGAATAGAGCTGCAAGTGTATTTGCTTTATTACTTCAATCTTTTGAGTCAACTCTTACGTCTATTGAGTTCTGAATCTGAATTCTTTTTGAATTCTAATTTTGTTTATCTATTTATACACTTTTAATGGTAGATCCAGGTTTTATATTAAAGATTTATTTATTTTAGATTAAGAAAATAATCTATACATACTTAATGACATATACTTGTTATTGCAGAATTATATCCTTTCATCTGACTTGATGTGATAGTTTTGTCATATGTGCTTATATTTCTATTTCTATTTTTTTTCCTTTTTTTTTTTTTTTGGGGGGGGGTAGTGGTGGTTTTCTTTTCTTTTTTTTCTTGTTGGTATTTTACTCCAGTAATCTGATTAACTGAAAAATTGTCAAAAATAAAGTTTGATATTATTTTGTTCTAAAATAGTTTTTGATATGTATGTGTTACAACTCCCAATGTACTTGTCTATTTTTATCATTACTATGTCAGAGTGATGAAATAACACATAATGGAGGCATGCTGAATGTATTTTTTGGGGGGTGAAGTTATAAATCTTGGCTGCTGGTGCAGTTGTGAGCAGACACAGAGTTTGACAGTGATAGAACTCCTGGAGGAGGGTTGGGTAGGTTATTATACCATGAATGGGCCTTGACATCCTGAATTGGTCATGGGGTCATTTCTCACCAGTAGGGACTGCCCACTTGCTAGCATTTGTCAACAGGAAAATGCCAGGGAAAAAGGTTCCCATAAAAGGAACATGATGTGTTTGGAAAGGGAAAAGAAAACTTTGTGATGCTTTTGTTGTTATTATTGTCTAAGACTGGTACTATTGAAGTTCCAGGAAGTGGCACTTTCATTCCTTCCCCCACCCCTTTTCTTTCCCTCTATTCTCTTTTCTTTCCTTCTTTCTTTCTCTGTTAACAGGGTAGAGACAGAAAGGTTTGTCGTGTACTTTGGGTAAGTGCAGCGAACTGTGGTTTGTCTTCAGTGAATTAATGCTTTGTTTTACGAGTGATTAGTTTGAACAAAATCTGTCAATAACTTCTTTTCATCTCAAGAATCGTGTTTTCTGCATCTCTTCAGACAATGCTTGCTTGCCCTTTGGTTTTTAATTTGATAGCATGGGTTTCTGGCTTGAAGGCATATTTAGGATTTGTGAATGATGAAAGTTATTAATGCATGGTTCCGTGTTTGATACCTGCACTTGATTGCAATAATGTATCCATTATCTAAAACTGCCAGAAATACAATTTGTCCCACCTAAATGCCTGTGCTGACTAGAACTGTAGAGGTTTCTGTAGTCAAAATGAACAATTATTTTTTTTATGAATGACATATATTTAATTTATGTTAATACAAGTTACTGTGTCTACTGCAATATATTTTATTAATATGCAATAAACATAACATATTACCCTTTAAAATAGATATTTCCTGTTTGTTCATTGAACTTTTCTTCCAGAAAACATGGAAGATGAATCTGAATTCATAAACCAGCATTTAATAAGCTATATCAAAACTATCAGTCTGAAGGCGCATTCCTTATGCATCTTTCAGTAGCAGTTTTTCTTTAATTTTAAATGGAATGAAGCTAAAGCAGTGTAATTGAAAATTTACTTCTGAGGAAATGAATGCAAGAGATGCAAGCTCTCTTTATTTAAGTGATTTTGGATCTTTCCTTATGTTTTGACCCAAATAAAAATAAATACTAAATATACAATTCTATTCATTTTTCTTTGTGTTGTGTGCATGTGTGACTAAAAAGCCCCAGAATTATAAACTGTAAAAAATTATCAGACAACAAAGGTACTTCAGAAACAGAGGCTGGGGTTTTTTGCAAACTAACGGAACACTCTGATGTGTCTTTCCTGATTTATTATATTCTTTTTAGGTGATTGTTTTCATAATTCATTCATAAAATTATTCATAAATAATTCATAAATCATAAAATAATCAAATTCTGATCTCCTTCACATAGATGTGTATTTACTTACTAAAAGAAACATCACTAAAAAATCCATTTTTGCTTTCCCAGGGTCAGTGTGGAAAATCAAATACTGAAATACGGGTTTACTACTCGTGAGATTACTATTTTGGAAAATGATGATCCTGGAGGAGTGTTTGAATTTTCTCCCTCTTCCAGAGGTCCCTATAGTATCAAGGTAGATATCTGAATAACTTTTCTTAATTGTTATGGAGAAGTAAATCTTATCAGGGTGCAAGTAAAATGCTGGATTTTCCTTTTCACAGGAAGGGGATTCTGTCGAACTGCAGATTGTCCGCAGCAGAGGGAGCCTTGTCAGGCAGTTTCTGCGATACACTGTGGAACCAAGGGACAATAATGAGTTTTATGGAAGCACAGGAATTCTGGAATTTAAGCCTGGGGAAAGAGAGATCATAATTACTCTTTTGACAAGGATGGATGGGATTCCAGAGGTAAAAATGAAAATTTTTCTTTCTTCAAGTTGTGTTCACAGCTTAACAGTTTGTTACTTATTAAAATACAGGAAAGTATATGGGACCAGAACAGGTATGCAATGCTTTTATATGGAATGTATTCCCAATCTCCAAACCTGGGATGCCTGGATAACCAGAAGGTATCTTTGGCTTTAGTAGGCCTTAGTGGATTTTTTTTTAATTTTTTTTTTTTTTTTTTAATTGAAACTTCTCATCCATCTGATCTTTTGGCATCCATGACATTCTGTGCTATAAAGTGCCACTGTTTAATTGAGTGCTGTATAAACAATAAGTTTATTTTTGTTCCTTTTCTGGTAAGTATCTGCTAATTTAACTCAGTGCTTCCCTAGGACTTCCCTAGTACTTTACTTCCCTTTACACTAATATTTTCTGTATATGTGTGAAGATGCAATACTTGTTGTAGTGTTCCATGATGCATTTCCTGTGAGTGTTTATTGAAGAAATATATGAAGTACAAAGTCGCATTAGATTAATAATGCAAGCTGACAAATTCTTTTTTAAGTTAGCTTAATGTCAGTGGTTTTAAAATCTTTACTTCCACTGTTACAGATTAAAAAGATGCACAAAACCATTGTGCATATAGAAAATGTGTCTATTTTTCTTTTGTTGATATTGTCCTCTTTTTCTGCTGAATAAATCTTTTTATTCTGACTGAGTTTCCCTCTTCCAGCTGGATGAGGCATATGCTGTTGTGCTCAGTGGCTACAGTGAAATGTCAGGCAAGCTGGGGAATGCCACAAGGGTCAGTATAACCATTTTGAAGAATGATGATCCACATGGTGTCATTCAGTTTCTACCTGATGAACTATCAGTAACAATAAAGGAAAGTAAAGGAGAAATCATCTATGCTGGTAATTCTTTTATTAGAGTTACTGCTTTCTCTGCTGTCTGTTCCTGCAAGGCTTCTTTTCCCTGCTTCACCTTCATAGGACAATGCCTGACTCATGAGTTTCCAGGGGGTACAGTACCAGCATGATGAGCAGTGGAGGTTAATGCAGAGGAGGATGGGCCTTGAAAGCTATAGGGATCAACCCAGTTAAAATATAGCTAGAGAATACACCAGACAGGAGGGACAGAGAATTGCTCTATGTGCAAGGTACAGCCTGGTGGTTCTGTGCTAACTGATCTAACTGTGCCAACAGTAGTTCTGCCTGGCCAGTGTGAGGCATTGGGTGCTATGTGAGAGAAGAATGAGCTAAATTTTCATGTGTGATTTCAGTTTATCTATCTCTATTGTATCAAGAGAATTGATACAACTTAACTTAACTGCTGTAGTGGTCTATTATTGTGCGGGGTCTTTCGTGTAGGGCACTACCAAATTAGTTTTGGAAGAAGTGGATTTATTTACTGTTTCCTTTTTCTTTGTTTCAGCTTTGCTGACCTTTTTCATTTTGACTTGTGTTTTTCCGGAGACTCACACTGACTGTACATGTTTGCATTTTGTAGCCTCTTACAGACTTGTAAGAAGCCAAGGAAACTATGGTAATGTGAGTGTGTCCTGGATTGTTGACCCAGCATGTACCAATGACATCTATCCAGAACAAGGGACTGTTTTCTTTGATAATCTGGAGTTTTCAAAAAATATCACAATTTACTCTCTACCAGATGAGGTAATCATTTTTACAGTGTTTTTGTGTAAATACGTGGAACAAGGAGTGAGTGCTAAAACACTGACATTTAAGAAGTTCTGTTTTTTAAGAAACTGAGAATTTTTTAAGAGAAAAATGAAAATACTATGCATATCTATAAACAAAACAGCTAGAATCTGTCAGTAGTCAAGTGAGGTTAAATTCTAATAAGTAAATCATTTGTTTTGATAGCAAGAATCCTAATTTTATATTGTTAATGCTAATATATTTGAAGTAAGGTAAGAAAGAATGAGAATAATTAGTAATAAAAGAATAGATAAATGAATAAATATAGCTGTACATCAAGTTACATCAGCATCAGAAAATTGCAAGATAACTTTTGAATCATCTGTACAACAGTAAAGATGAGGGGATTTTTTACAAAGTTTTTTGACGATGATTGTTTTTGTCTAAGTTATGAACTGTCTTTTGTCATCCCTCTTGAGACACTTATGAATCAATAAATAAAAAACAACATGCAGAAACCCTGTTTTGTTAACCTCCTCAGCTGTTTATTTTCATTTCTTCATTATTTCGAATACAATAAATTTATTTCTTAATATTTTGTTATTCAGGTACCTGAAGAGATGGAGGTATTCATAATCAGATTATTCAATGCCACTGGTGGAGCTAGACTGGGCAATATAACCAGAGCATTTTTACAAATCACAAGGAATGATGATCCCATTTATTTTGCAGGTTAGATCTTGCTGGTTTTAAATTTTGAATGCATATTCTGCATATGCAGATTTTATTGACTGAGCAGATTAGTGAAAAATCTTAATCCAAGTGGAGGATATAAACGATGTAAAATGTACTTTTTTTGTTTTTGTTGTATGGAATTAGGTTTTTGGTTTTATTTTTAAAACTTAAGAATTTTCTCTCATTTTATGTCAATATTCTTATTGCTGGTTCTGGGATTGGTTAGGTGTCTAAAGACAACAATATTCTCTTCCACCTACAAGTATTTATCTTCCTTAACTAGATGTGCCTTCTCTTTCCTTGAAGTGAAGGATCCTTTTGTGGGGGATTAGGTAGGCCTCATGCAAGAAGCTCAGGTTTGAACTTGAATTTATTGCTTGTGTGTTTTCAGAACCTCTAATAGTGAGCGTTACAGAAGGGAGTGTTGCAAACTTTACAATCCTAAGGAATGGATCCTCTGATGAAGTTGTTGCTGTTCAGTATATTACTGTTAATGGAGATGCTACAGCTGAAGAGGGAGACTTTGTTCCCAGTGAAAAGGACAGTTTCATTCTATTCGATGTCGGAGAAAGAGAGCAGACCTTATCTGTGTATGTTAATGATGATGATACCCCTGAAACTGATGAATCATTTTATATCTTCCTTTTGAATTCAACAGGTAAAAACAATGAATTAATGTATGTCTAATAACTCTTTTTCTTTTTTCCTCTATTTTTTTACTAGCTTGTTCTTATCATAATGCAATGTAGAAATGCCAGGCATTATATGAATAATGTGTGCATCAACATTTCTATGGAATTTCTGTACAACGTGTTTGGATCTTGATCTTGAATTGTTTAATCTGAAACAGAAAAGAAAATATAAAACTGAAACTGTCTTGCAAAAATAACTGGAGTTAAAATCTCTTTCCAAATGCTCGAAATTAGATGGTGTTTTGACTCATCAATAAGAAAATATAAGTTAAATATAAGAAATAGGTAATTTTTCTCAATTATCTGAGTTTAAGGTAGTTCATGTATTTTCTGAGGCCAGCTAGAATTCGCTCTGATACACAACTCTCTTACAGAACACTGGCTTCATGGAAATTACTGGACAAAGCCATACTTTTCCCTTCTTGAGTTTTCTCTTCAGTGATCTACTTTATTAACTTTGTTCAGGATCTGCTGATCCTGAACAAAGGATCAGCAGATCCTTTGGATCTTACCATTCTATTGAAAGCATGGCTTTCCTCCTGGCACACATTCCTGCCAGAATGGGCAAAATACAGAATATTTCTAGATGAATTCCTGAAAGAAAAAAAAATAAAATAAAATAAAATAAAATAAAATAAAATAAAATAAAATAAAATAAAATAAAATGAAATAAAATAAAATAAAATAAAATAAAATAAAATAAAATAAAATAAAATAAAATAAAATAAAATAAAATTATTTTTCTTTTTTAATATCTGTTGCATATATTGGCCTTTATTGTTACATCCCTTTTGAAAATTATGCTGGACATTTGTACCTCAATAAAATAAAAATAGAGGTATATGAAGTTAAAACCATAAGCAGATTGTTCACTTTGGTATAAAAAGAAATCCACTGCTTTTGAAAAGGGTGGAAGCTGGGCTGGGAACAGAAATATAACGTTCCTTTCTGAACATAAAGAGGTGTTGAAATGTCCCTACTGTGCTAATATACACACAGAAATCCTACTAATTTCCACCTTACTTCACAGATTTACTGTATTTTTTTTCCTTTCAGATAGGCTGTGATATGGGTTTGACTTATCTCTTAGAGATTGTTGTTCCCTTGTATTTAGTTTAAGCACAATGTTTCTGTTGTAGGTCTAAAGGAGAGCTCTGGGATGTCTGAATACGTGTCTTTTTCTTCTGACTTGACCAGATGATAAACATGAAGTACTGCCTCTCATACAATCCTTTCTTCTCAGGATTGCATCATCTCTGGTCACGTCACATTTTTTTCTGCAAATTTGCATTCTTGATCTCTGCCTTAGATACTACTTGCATATTTTTACTCTGGTTTGTCTGTTACGGAATATCTCAAATGTTGGTTTTCACTGATTGTTCTGTTGCTGCTTGTGTCTTTCTTTGCATGAAAACTGTTGGTGTCAGAGGAAAACACATTCAATTTTAGAGTTACCTCCATTTCTGATAAAATTAATCACCCTCTTTTTAGGAGATACTGTTATCTTTCATGCTGGAGTTGCTACAGTTATTATTGAAGCAAATGATGATCCTAATGGAATTTTCTTCTTAGAACCTCTAGAGAAGCCAGTAGAAGAAGGAAAAAGTAATTCTTTTTTGTAAGTGGCTTTTAGATAATATTGTTGCTCTTTTTTTGAATACATGTATGTATGTCTTGATGTGTGAGTTATTTTATGGATAGTATTTTGATCTAATCCTATTTTTTCATTGCTAAAATTCATTAGAAAAATAGCCCCACCAAATTTTGGATTAAATTATTTGCAAACATTTTGAGAACCAATAAAACATCAAACATCGACTCGTACATTATCAAGTGGACTGTACATATTAAAATGTGTACAGAATTCCTGTTAAAATATAAACAAGATCACAGAAAAGGGGGCTTTTTCATATTTTCACACAAATAAGATTACATCAGAGGGATTTTTATTATATTTTCATGGGAGTGTAGATACAGAAGGATCAAGATGAATGGGTAGAATATAACTTGTACCAACAGAGAAGTAAAAAATCTTTTCAAAATTCAGCTAAATACAACTATGTGGTTATTCATTTCTCTTTGCACCCTACTTTGAAATCTTACCCGACAAACAACCTATATTACTGTACTCTTTCTGTTAATTTGTTTTTCTTCTATCTGTAAGTTACAGATAGGAGCCTATACTCAAAAGCCAGATGGGCCTTTCTTCTAGGCTGAATATGTTTTTCCCTAGTCTGACCTGTAGCTGCTTGCATGTATTCAGGAAGGGGAAAGGTTAAGAAATTAATTTTCATGTCATCTGACTTTTTTATGTTCCAAAAGTCAGAATGTGGTTATAAATTGACAAAAATACTGATTTTCAATAAGAAAATTCTAGACAGGGTATGAAGAAACATATGTTCACAATAAATCTGACAGTATGAACAGTTAGAGAGGAGGCGTTTTTCACAATTGTTTAATTATCTTTTATATATTTTTATTTGGTTTGGTTGTTTGCTTTAAGGCCTTGAAATAGATTCCTGTGACTGTAAGTTAGATCTTACGCTTGCGTTGCACATCTAAACAATTAAAATCCTTGTTAAAATAATCTATTATATATTCTGTGGTTGTATATGTAGATGTTAGAGTCTGAAGCACAGAGTATGTGCCCTTGTCTCTGATACCTAGCTCTGACATCCAAGAAAACACTGAATTTCATATAACACAATGAAAACAACTGTTAAATAGAAAAGCTAAAAGTTGAAGTGTGTAAATTAGAAAGTTTTCTTAAGTCACTGGGTGAAAAGGTTAGTTTAGAGTTTAAACTAGTTCAGAGAGCAGAAAACAAGATGGAAGATTTAAGGTGTTGTCTCTTTTCCTTCTTCCTTCATCTTCTAAAAGTTTCTAGGTAGTAATAGGGAATTACAGAATGCTGCAATGCAGCATACACGTGTTAAGTCATTAAGTCACTAAGAAAAATAATTTACGTATCTATAGTTAATTGGGTAAGAATAAATATAAAGATAAAAGAGCTGTGTATTTCAAGGCCCTTTTGTGCTTTAAAAACCAACTTGAGGCATGCGATAGTGAGTTGAATTTGTGCAAAAAGTCTGGGGAGTATTACCAAATCTTTTAATTATATATAGATAAACATGAGAAACAAGAAGCAAATAAGCCTTTAGAGAATCTTTCCTGAAACAAAACTAAGATAAAGGGAAACTCCTCGTGAGGGAGTATCCCAAGAGAATATAGCTCTGAAGAAATCGAAAATCCCACAGCAACAAGTAAAGCAACATAGATATTATATATTTTGTGGCTGATTTTTCTGTGCTGCTCTTAGGGGTTCTCTTGGTCCTTAATAATTCTTTTTTTACATCAGCAGTGTGGAGAATGATGATGTGAACTAAACATTTATATTAAGGCACTTTATGGAAGCACATGATACCAAGGTCACCAATATCACCAATACCAAAATAAAAAAAAGGTCTATTGCTTAGACCTTACTGCTAAAATATATTTACTAGGAAACTGTCTTTTCCATACCCTCAAAAAAGTTTGTCTTTTGTTTAGTACATAAGAAAAGGGCCAGACTAGTTTATAATCTAACCAGTGAGAATGCCTATGGCAGCACTGAGCTTTCAAGAGAGGAACTGGAGTTACAACAACTGTGCTACACCACTGGAATAGAACGCCCTGCTTAACAACAACAACAAAAAGAAACCTTTAGCATCAGTAAAAATCATACTGTCTTTCTGTTCCTAGACTGCTTTAATGAATTATTTTTTCAGACTTGTGTCATAATGCTTTAAAAAGCTTTTTCTTTTTATCACATAAACAGAAATGCTCTTTTTGTATGTAAACATGTTTTTTTAATAAAGAAACTTCTATATGTTTAGTTCTTCAGTTTTTATTTACAATATTCTTTGAAAATCAGGGAAATTATGTTACCACATAGCTATGTAAACAAATAAAAGCTTTTTTGTATTAATTAAAATCTTAATGTTGAATAATGCAATTTGTGAAGGACCTGGTATACAACCCAAATTAAATAAAAACACAAAAAAGGTTAAAGTGTCTTTATGGTTAAAGGGAAAAATTTGCAATTAATTTCCTTCTCTTTCATCTCTAAGAGTGGTCAGTTAACTCTATTTTTGATAGTAATTTGCTGAACTATACATTCATTTTTATTATTCAAAAATAGAAGCGCAAGACAAACTGCAGTTCATCTAAACTGCAGTACTATTTTGCGTGTACCTTCATTGATTATTTTCTTTCTAAGGTATCTGTGGTATACCTTGGTGTAGAATTATATTGTGACATTTCAGGCCCTCTAAGAGGATTGCATTATTATTCATGGCTCTGTTTGTTATTTGTGTTTATTTAGATTTATATTTAGAACAATACATATTATTTCCCATGGTAAGGATGTTTAGTCCATGTCTTACATTGTTAATGGATAATGCTGATGCATACCTGCCAGGACATTCATTCTTTCTGTATCTCTGAACAGGATTTTGAGACAGAGAGGACACTTTGGGAATGTCTCATTAGCCTGGCAGCTGTTTCATAATGACTCTGCACTGAAGCCAGGAGAAGAGTTCTCTGAAACTTATGGGACTGTGTACTTCATGGATGGTGAAGGATCAAAACTGATAGTTCTCCATGCTCTTTCAGATAAAATTCCTGAATTCAATGAATTTTACATTTTAAAGTTGGTGAACGTTTCAGGTATTTTCTTCTGTATAACCATTCCTTTTCTATCTGGTAGAAAGTAGTTATAGTTAATCATTCAAAATGAAAACAATCCTGGAAAGAGCCTATGACATACTATACTTTTCTGGTGAGATTTTAGGTTTTGTTTTTAATTTATTCTTTAATTTAGGTATATTATGAACACAGTTTTGGAATCTGGCCTTTAAAAAATATGCCTTTTGGTGGTTTTAGAGATGTAGAGCTTTGTGTAGAGCTGACAAAACGAAGGTATTAAAGGTTACCATAATGGAGATTGGCTGGTTTGTTTGCTTTTTTCTAGAAATTTCTGTAAAATATAAATAGTTACCGCTTTGTATCACTTAAATTACAACTGCTACAGGCCTGCTACTGAGTAGAGTTCCAAATCTGCTGGACTCCTTCCACCTCAGTACTATTTATGGTCTTCTGTGCCAAGATACAACTGAAAATATGTTGAGATTTCCGTAAGTGAAATCTGTATGCACGAACAGAAGATTTCCTACTTAGTGGTGCATGAAGGCTTTGCAGTTTCACCATGATTGATCTTCTTACTGTGGAGAAGTAGGTGATTAATGGCACGACTTAGGAGTAGTTTTAACACACAACTGGTTACTGATTTTACAGGGTAATCTCTGCTTATTTGGAGGCAATGAACTAAATACTGCCATTTCATTTTTGTTTAAATCTTGGAGTACAATGATAAATGAATTTGACCCCATGCTTTTCAAATGAAACAAAAGCAACCTATCTCATTGCTAATAATTCAGGAAATCCGAGCTAATCTTGTTTTAACTGAAAGAGAGTTATATTCTGCGGTTGAAAAATTACATGGCTAGTTTTCTATGAAGATGTTCTCTATAGTGTTTTAAAACCAATGCAGTTAATTTTATGTTAATCTTAAATTTGGAGAAGTTTTTAAGAGTTCAGAGACTCTTTAAATATTTAGGCCTATTCAAAAAGTTATTCTGTTACACATTTTAAAATACTTAGCAACTTTTTTCACACCAGTAACTTTTACTCTTAACTTCCATTGTATAGGTGGGTCTCCAGGTCCTGGTGGGAAGTTGTCTGAAACAAGCACTGCTGTAACTGTGATGATCCCTTTCAATGATGACCCTTTTGGAGTCTTCATTATAGATCCAGAGAGTCAGGACAGAGAGATAGCAGAAGATGTTCTTTCTGAAGATGATCTTTCCTATATTACAGACTTCACCATCTGGAGACAGCAAGGCACTTTTGGTGTTGTCCGTTTAGGTTGGGAAATACTGTCCAGTACATTTCAAGATGGATTACCATCAATGATAGACTTCTTGTTGCTGGGATCATTTCCAAGTTCAGTACAATCTCAACCACACATGAGACGTCATCACAGTGGAACAGATGCTTTGTATTTCAGTGGAAAAGAGGATGCATTTGGAGTTATTGGTCTGGAATACCCATACAATGGAAATACTGCAGTAACTAATTTTACATTTTCTGCATGGTTAATTCCTAATGTCAATACCAATGGTTATATAGTTGAAAAGGATGATGGTAATGGGACCTTATATTATGGTGTGAAAATCCAAACAAACGATTCTCATGTTTCTATAGTGCTTCATTATACAGCACTAGGATCCAATATTACATACATAGCCAAAGCAGCAGTCCTGAAATATCTGGATGAAAGTACTTGGGTTCACATTCTGATTACTCTGGATGAAAGTATAATTGAATTTTACATGGATGGAATTCCAGTTCCAGGAGGAATTAAAAGCCTTAAAGGAGAAGCAATTGCTGATGGTGAGTCAATAGGTTGCATTGTTTTTTCTTCATATGTTAGGTTCTGCAAAATATGGAACAGTCTAGCCCCTTGAAAGATGTATACAAGATTCTGAAATTATTATATCTGATCAGTTAGTTAAAAGCAATGCATAGAAAATTCTAGGGATTTTCAAAAACAATATAAATGGAGATAGGAGCTGAGAAATTTTCAAAGAGCAGAACTGTAAGAGAGCTTGGATTACACTAATTTGAAAATAATAATTCTATTTCTATATGTATGCTTATCATGTGTACATATAGTTATATATGTTTAAAATTAATAATTTTCATTACACTAACTGTACTGTGGCTAAGAAAGAATTTTTCCACTCAATTTCTGAAACAAAATACAATAATATTTTTGATTCTAGTTGTGTATTATATTACAGCTAAACCAATAATTTGTAAGCAATAGATTTTTTCAGGGTTTAGATTTACCTAAGCATGTATATTTACCTGGTATACGAAAGCTGTGCCCATATGTTTAATGATGTTACACGTAACATTAATATGTATACTTCAGTTCCTCTAACTTGATATTCTTGGATGTCATATGTAAACATTATGGACTTTTGCACTCAACTAGCATAGCAGTGAACATCACAATAATTCCTTTACAAAGTCAGGTATTGAATGGTGGGAATACATTTACATTTACTCTTTCTTTTGCAGTTCCTCACTCTTTCATGTGTGTTTTGTTTTTTTTTATAGCAGTAATCACCATCCTTTTCCTTTCTTTCTCTTCCCATCAGTTTCACAGGTTTTCTTTCATGGGGATAGGCAGTTAATGATTAGCAAATTCTTGAATACAATCTCCTCTGTAATCAAAGAAGGAAAATTAAAAAAACATGCAGTGATGTCAAAGGCAAATACATCTACATGCATATATGTGCACAAACATAAAGTGAGCATGAAGAGGAGATGTCATTAATTTTTGAGTGTAGGATTTTATTTCTGCCTTTAATTTCCTGGTAGCTGAAGTCTAAAAAATTTAGCTTCTGTAAAAACGTAGTTCCTCTGTGTCAAAGTAGTGCCCCTGCCATTAATAGCTGCCATCAGACATGAAGTACTGTAGTTTAGAAATTATTTTTTTCCCCCTCAGTTTCTAAAACAAAGATGTGTGAAATACAGTAAGGCTTTTATTGCTAGAAGGATATGTCTGAGTCATTGCAAATTTTCCACATTAGTGGAGATGATGTGTGCTCTGTCTGGAGATGTTACAAGTATAAACTAAGGATTCAATGTCTCACCATTAAGTGTTGGATACTACAGGAGTACTTAAGCCTGACTTTGCTCACCATCCTGTGCCTTTTATCTTGGGACCATTAGCAGTTGTTGTGGTTGTTTCTAAAAGGGACACTCAGTGCACATTTCCTTCCAAAATCAGAAAACAGCTGAAGAGATTTGTTCTATATGTTTTAGAGCGATAAGAATGACTATGAGCTACCAGCTTAGTATTTTTGTGAAAAAAGGAACTGTCGTCCTCTGACTTGCTGAATAGGATAATTGTTTGGAGAGAAAGAAATGTTAAAGCAGTTGTAAAAAGTGCTTGGAACTTTGTCTACATTTCTTAAACCCCTCTTCCAGTACACTGTAGTAAGTAAGTATTCCAAGCATGTCTGGTGTGGCTAATACCCTGATCGTCAGAATGGATTCACTGTCCAAGCAGAGGACACATTACATATACAAAGATACAAAATGGGTAAAGCAAGTGTTTGGTAAAACAAAAGTGAGACAGGCTGCAGCTGGGCTCTGAAAATTTTTAATGGAAAGAGAGAAGTTTCCAAGATTCATTGAGATAAGAGATGATGACAATGTGCTGATAGGATTAGTAGGATGAAAAACATGAACTGTCTAGGTAGGAATTATTTGACCTGTAATGATCTACCTGTAGCACTGAGATGAGACTTCGGGAGCCTCCCAGTCTACATTTCAAGATCAATATTATTACTAACCCAGGCACAGTAAACAATTTACCATGGATTTTTTAATAATTACATATATTAGCTATTTTGAAAAAAAAACAACAAAACAATAACATGAGAAATAATTCTTATTTTCTTCTCAGGTCCAGGAATAGTGAGAATTGGAGCAGGAATTAATGGCAACAGCAGGTACACAGGTTTCATGCAGGATGTAAGGCTTTACGAGAGGAAATTGACAGAAGCAGAGATCTATGAACTTCATGCAACTCCTGCAAAGAGTGACATACACCCTGTCTCTGGGTATTTGGAGTATCAGCAAGGAGAAACTAATAAATCATTCATTGTGTCTGCAAAGGATGACAAAGAGGAAGAAGGAGAGGAGTTATTCATCCTAAAGCTCATTTCTGTGTGTGGTGGAGCTCGAATTTCACAAGAAAACACAACAGCAAGATTAAGAATACAGAAAAGTGATAATGCTAATGGTTTATTTGGCTTCACTGGAGCATGTATTCCTGAGGTAAGATGCTCATAAGGAAAGCTACAAAAGAAATTTTAGACACAATCAGACTAATGGTAAGGTCCCCCTTTGAAGGGCCTTGATTCCATGATTTTAGTTTTTTTAGCTAAGCAAAGTTTTCTAGAACTTGGAATTGTGTAAGTTTTGTTTATGCAGCCTCAGTCACACTGGCACTTGCAATATCACTTTTTTCTTATCTTTATTAAGAAAATTTATTTTATTACATAAACTGAAAACTAAGGCTTAAAATTTCCTAGAGCAGTTTTTACCTGTACTTCTGTAACTTCTGAGACTGTAACCTCATGTTGTCTTGGAGAGTGTTCATTTTCTTCTTAGTATCTTTATTCTTAGTATGTGTTTTGGATTCAGGATGAGAATAATACTGTCACAAGGGTGGTTTGTCTGTTGCAAAGTAGGGCTTCACCTAAATCAAAGACTTTTGAATGTCCCATGCTCTGCTAGCACAAAAAACTGGCAAGGAGCATATCCAGGACAGCTGACCTGAACTGGCCAAAAAGAACATTCCATAGCATGGAATGTCATGTCCAGTGTATAAACTGGAGGACTTACCTGGAAGGCAGTTGGTCATTGTTTGGAAATGGGCTGGGTATTGGTCAGCAAGTGGTGAGCAATTGTACCGTGCCGCACTTGTTTCTCCTGGGTTCTGTTCCAGTCTCTCCCTTCCTTATAATTAAATTATCATCATTATCATCATCATCATATTAGATATGAATTCGCTTGATACTGGTGGAAATTTCTGTTTTTAAACATTAAATTTTCTATGGTGGTAGCCACCATATATGGAGTATATAAAGTTGAATCTTTTTTTGAGAGCATTGAAATAAACATAGTTAATAGTTAGTTTTTTAATCATTATGAGGGAGAAAGACATGATATCCATCTATGTGATTATTAGATTATTTTGGAAAAAAAAAATTCATAATGCTTTCCAGTGCTTTGGAAATTCTTATGGCGTCTTAAGTACCTCCTTTCTAACTGAAGTCATTATGATGTGTTTGAAGGCAACCATCTTGCCTGACTGATGGTAGCTTTCAGTTCAGTTCAGTTTGCTTTCCAGGTGCCTACCATCTGCTACCATAATAGATGCCTTCAGTTTCAAATGCCACTGATAATTCTGTGATGCCACAGATCAGCAACCAACCATGAAGCAAAATTAAAAATTTATGTGGCATGTTAATTGTTTCGCCTTAATCTTATAGCATTGTTTTATCAGCACTTTAATTTCCTTATGTCCATATCTGTCTGTTAAGCAGCTGAAGGCACATTCAGTATCTGCATGGTGTTATACAGCAACTCTGAAATTTATCTAATGCTTAAGATAGCTTTAGTCATTCTGATAATTTTCAAACTAAATTATTTTCTATTTTAGTTTTAGGGTCATATTATTTTTTATTATACTTGGCCAGTATCAACACCTGATGTGTTCCAAATGTGTGCAATTGTTGCTGCTGAAGGCATGTTCTTTGTGAAGACAGAATTGCAGAGTACTGTGTCAGAGAGTTTTTCACTTTTTCCTGATTAATAATAGTATCATTTAATTCAAATGTATTTATTTTGTTTTCCATCTTTTTTTTAGTCAGGGAAAGGAGGAATCCAAATATTTCTTTAAATTAAAATTAAAATAATTGACATTACTATAAAACAGTATAGTCTTTTGATATAAACATTTCAAACATATTAACTCTGTTTTTATGTCCAAAAGAAACAGCAGGGTACAGTTACTGACGGACCTCAGGGAGATGCTAGAAGCGATTGCAATTTCCATTAAAGTTGTTCTGAGCACCATCAAGATCAGTTTCAGCTTTCTGTCACTCCAAAAGTGCTGAAAGTAACACGACAGCAATAAAAAATAACTGAACATTTGAATAGCATTAGAGAAATTAACCTTTTATATTTATTCCATTGATTTACTTTGATCATAACAAATATGTCAATTTCTTGCTTTCTTCCAGGTGGCTGATGAGGGTTCCACTATATCCTGTGTCGTGGAGCGTACAAGGGGAGCCCTAGACTACGTGTATATAAATTACATTATCTCACAGGTTGATTCCAGGGGCATTAATTACTCTGTTAGCGATTTTTCTAACAGCAGTGGCACTATCACATTCCTTCCTTGGCAGAGATCAGAGGTAAACCCTACCTTCCTATTAACTATTCATCCTGTCCTTTGCAAACCTGCTGGAAAACACCTTCTGAGGATGCTTGACTGGTTTTCATAATAAGGAGTCTTTCATTCACATGGCTTTTATTACATTTTGCAGGGGTTTCTACATCTTTGGCACCTAACGAGTGGTAGGATAGACACCTATAGATGTCTGTGTGCATCTCACTTCAGCCACTACTGTGCATGGATGAATGCTTAAATGCATAAATTGAACATTTAATGCACACTAGATATGTTTACATATAAGTATATGTATATATATTAGACACACACTTCAAGTATAGATAGTCCAGTGATTAAATAATGGATCCAGTGACTTTTGAAATTCAAATATGATCGGGTTTTGATCTGAGTATTGGAGATCAGTTTTATCTCCATGACAGTTATACAGACAGCAGTCAACTTCACTGCTGTAATAAAATATCATGCAACTGTTAGCCACATTCAGTCTGTTTTGATTAATCTATTTCTGTGAATTTGACCCCAACCTACAGCATGGGATTTTCACATTTATTTGAAGAAAAGGTGTGTGACCACAATACTGTAGGAATTTTATATGTTTTCTATTAGTGTTTGTTAAATAGAAAGGGTGGATTAATAGTAGAAAATACTGTCTTTAATTTCACTTTTATCATTCTGCTGAAGTCAAGCGGGACTGAGTGAAACTTACTGACATAATTTGAAAAGATCCCACTGACTCACTTAGAACTGTGGATCTGATCCCAGTTAAACAATGTAACTGATTACAGCTTGGCAAAAACTTCTGATTTTGGAAAATGGTGTGCTCTTGGCAGTTTATCCAGCTTTAATTATCTAACGAAATTCATTACTGCATTGCATACAGTCATTCAGAGTTAAATTTGCCAAGCTTTTCAAGTCTGGCAGCATGGATGAGGCCTGACGTATTTTATAAAGTGTCAGAAAAACTCTGGTGAACCCTCTTGCTCTGTTGCTATGTGGTCCAATATAATGTCTACATACAGAGGACCTAATGGTCATGGACCTAAGAAACAAACTGGGAGCAGTTGCTCGTCAGGTGAAAAATCTTAAGAGAATTTCCATTTGCATTTTTAAACTACTCATTCCCATGGCTCTAAATATGATCAGCTACGTAAACTTTTCCTCCTATATATTTTTCAAATCTTATCACAATATACAGGAAGTTGGAATTGTCTGAGATTAATATATTAGCCTATGCAAAGCACATTGTGTTACATGATAGTATGGTCTGTAACCTCAAGTGTCAGGTGGCATTAAAAGCTCACCTCACTTGCTCTCTAAATTAGATTAATCACTATTATGTCTCCAACAGCTTGGTAAAGATGTTTTTGGAATTGTATTCTAAACTTATTATCATAATGTTAAATTACATGGAGGGCAAAAATGTTCTCTACGTTACTTATGAACCCACTGCAAATACAGCTGATTCACTAAAAACTTAATTGTTTAAAGGGTCATAAAATTCTTAAGGGATGTATGTTGCACAGTTTGATTTCTTCATGATTTGGTCCTTCTCTAGGTCTTAAATTTGCATGTTATTGATGATGACATTCCGGAGCTAAATGAATATTTCCGTGTGACATTAGTCTCTGCAGTGTCTGGAGATGGAAAACTAGGTTCAACTCCCACCAGTGGAGCAAGTATAGATCCAGAAAAGGAAACTACTGATATCAGCATTAAAGCCAGTGACCACCCATATGGTAACAATGTTGAAGATGATACAGTCTTATTGCAGATTTATGTATACTTCTAGCTCAAGAGGTAAAAATTTGCCTAACCTCAATAAATGAGGAAGCAATGTCAAGTATTACACTTTATCTAACTTGAGATGAATTCATGATTTTTATACAAAAATGAATGTCAGATTACTTACTCTTGAGAATACAAAAAAAGGGGCATTAAAGCTGCTTGGACCAAATATATGACCATCCCCTTTTGCAAGAAAACAAATTGCATGTTGTTGATTTTATACCAGTTTTTATGAAATGAGAATTTGTATCGGAGATGATTAAATGAGTCATTTAATCATGCCTATTAATATACCAATAAGTACCCAGTATTATGACATTTGGGTTCTTCTGGGAAGAGTTGAAGTCATTCTTGTGGTATGGTTTTGTTAAGACTAACATGAATATCAGTGAGAGAGAGAATGGTACGTAGCACATTCTGGAAGTAGCATGATTGAGTCCTAAAGGCATACTAATAGATTTTTAATTTGATAAATATTTTTGTGATTTTTTTATCATAATTTGAATTTTGTATGAAAAGCCATATAAATAATAATTTTTGTCTTTCAGGTCTACTGCAGTTCTCAGTGGGGCCACCTCCTCAACCCAGTGATGAAATGATTCTGCCAGCCTCTGCTGTGCCCCATATCACTGTTAAAGAAGAAGTTGGACAGATCAGATTATTGGTAGTTCGTGCACAAGGGCTTCTTGGAACAGTTCTTATGGAATACAGGACAGTGCCACTTACAGCTTTCAGTCCTAAAGATTATCAGGTATAGTTATTGCCAGGGTGTGTAATTATTTTATAATTTAATTAAAGCTATTTGTTCAGGAAGTAGCCATTGGCTTGAGTATTTTAGCTGAGCTGGGATTCTTTTCACTAGCTAAGCTGTGATTTTTTTCACAGAAACAGTTTTTTTTATTGTGGTGTTGTGATAGATAGATACATACTACCCACTATAAAAATATAAATCATTCTGTGCCTTTTGCCTCCTTTCTGTGCAGCATGTTGTGTTTTCTAGGAAAAGCCTCTGGGTTTGATTTTGATATCCTTAAGAAAATTGTCAATGCAGCAGGAATGGATATTTCCTACTGTTTTTAAGTATATCAGACTTTATATGACCATACAGGTGCATATGTAGGTGAAGATTATATTTGTACATACTAGGAATTGTGCATATTCAGCAACATAGCTTAGAAGTTTGATTGTCTGACTGCTGTTTGTGCAGAAAAATGTAGATAAATGAAGATGCCCACAATTCAGTGAATTTAGATTACTATTTCTTATAACAAAGACTCAGCAGATTTTTTTAAGTTAAAGAAAAGTAGTGTTTTGATAAAGACAAAAAGAATTGAGGTTGTATTTCTTTTTTCATTTGGATGAAAACACTAAACTTGAACAAAACTGTGAAGACCTGTCATATTTCAGGCTGTTTGGGGCTCAATGGAATTTCAGCCAGGAGAAAGATACAAGTACATTACTGTTAACATCACTGACAATTCAATTCCTGAACTAGAAAAAACTTTTAAAGTGGAGCTGTTGAACCCAGAGGGAGGAGGTAAGGCGCATATATCAATCCACTGGTTGTATTTTCATGATCTGTATTCATGCCTTGAAATATAACCTTGTGAACTATTTCCATGTTATTTTCAAAGACACACCCTCCAGACTGCAGCAGTTCTTTTTAGGAAAAAACTGTCCTTCAGATGTTTTGCTAAGTAAATGACCAGATCTCAAAGAAAATATATTACTACCATACATTCAAAGAGAATTGCTGTTTTTTAAGTTACATAATTACATAGTTGGCAGAGAGAATTAAAATAAGGTAAAAAAAAGCTTGATTTTTTTTTTTTTTTTAAATGTCAGTATTTAAGGTTTAACAGCCAAAGGTGTGCTTTTTATCTGCTACTTGAAGGAAATTGGAAAAATTGCAATCAACTGTCTCATAACTGATTCAAATGGAATATACCATTAGAAAACTGTGGGTTTTGAGATGTGGGAGTTTAGCTGAGTTGGAGAATTAGCTAGAAGCTAGTGTAAGTCCTGCTGTAGCTGAGACGTAAGTATTAAAACTGTAGGCAAGAAGCAGTGCTCCTGCCACGTAAAATCACTCTTGCCTTACAGAATCTATTTCCACTGCAAAATGTTTAAAAGGGAGGTTCCTCCTGGTTGGAGGAAAAGAAGTAACTCAAAATATTGAGAGTCGTAAAGTTCCTTTTTAACTGATACAATTTTTCTAAGTAGTTCAGAATTGCAAGTGTGATGCCTTCTGGAAAGTTAGATCATATTAGCATGAATGTCTGTGATGCAATGTGGCACTATGGAGTTATGCTAGCATTCTTTTGATAAAGGCTTCTGAGTTTTCATGCTTGTGGGATTTTTGATCAAGTAGTTGTTTCAGTTAAACAAACTTTTCTCTTTGAATTTTTTTGTTAAGAAAACTTGCAGCTGACTGGTAATTTACTAGAGGCAAATACCTTCTGAGCCTAATATTTTTGGGCTTTCCAATACCACTGCAAGCACAAAACTTAGGATAAAGGCTCCATCAGTTAAGCTGCCAATTTTTTTCAACTTTCTGACACAACTTTCTTTTTGATTTGTGAGAAAATATTAGAATAAAAGAGTTTGGCAGGGTCTAGCCACTGATTCCCCCTTCCCCCTTCCCCATTTCTAATTTCTCCATTTGGACTGAGGAAGAAGGAACACAGAAGGAAAGGAAAAGAAAAACATAAAAGAAAGTTGTATGTGTTTTCTTTCCTTCTGACTTCCTTTTGCTGTTTCCAATGCAATAAATTTAACAAGAGGTAACATATTCAATATTTTTTCTGGCTTTTAGCAGAAATTCTGTATACTTTCATTTTGCAAATTGACACTTTCCTAGAGTACATCTCTGTCTTTTTGTGTTGTCCAGAAATGTTTAAATTACTTTCTGCTTTCCCTTTATTTATAAATGTATATATGTGTATATATCTGTATGTCTGTCATCTTAAAGTTGCTGAGCTTTTTAGAAATGATGGAAGTGGTAGTGGTGATGGAAACATGGATTTCTTCCTTTCAGCTGTCCCTCAACATGGTAAGCTTTTTTGATTAATCCTATATTTCATTTATAATTGTAATATAAAGGAAATCATTAATCACTATCCTTGTTGCAACTTTCTTTACATGCAGTTACTGATCATTAATTTAAATTTAGCATAATATTTAATAAAAAATTATCTTCCATTTTTATCTAGGTGTAATTTCACTAACAGTCAGTGTTTAAGGTAAAGCAGAGAACAACAGGTTCTCATATAATCAAAACTATATTGTTGCTAAACACAATATAATAATTGCAGAATTAAAGTTTACAAAATTATCTTTGTCTGAACATTGTCAAATTTTCCTCGGAGAAAAAAGCAAAGGCACTTTTTAAATTGAAGGCATTTTTAAAACTGCCTGATTGTATGTTTTGATACATTCTATGTATCATTTTGATCCCTTTATGGCAAAAATACTCTTAAAGAAAAATAAATTGTGTTAGATTTTTTAATGAAATAGTTTATTTTCATTTTTCTTCTTTTATTACTTCATGTTCCTATTTATGTCATGATATGCAGAAAACAATGATAATTTAATACTGAAAAAAAATAGCAAATAAAGAAATAACATAGAATATATGGGAAAACCCTATGCAATAGGACTTCAAATTAAAACCTTCAGACCTAAAAATATTATATGAGCACACATATGCCACTAGAGTATTTTTTGTTGTTGTTGTTTTCTTTGGCATTCTGTTTCCCTTTTACTTGTTTCCAGAAACGGTTTCCTTAAGTGCCAGGCTCTTTTACTTTCTGAGCAGCAGGTTATGTCACCTATAACAATATCTTTAAAAGTAGGATTTACTTGACTTGGCGGGGTTTTTTGGTTATTTTTTTGTCTTTCATTCAGCTTATGTTTGGATGAGACCTGCTTTCATCTTGTGTTTCCACTTATACTGTGGTTTGCCATATAACTCCTCAGTGTCCTAAATGCTGCTTCATTTTCATTCTTAAACCTGTAATTTTGTTTTGGTTCCTCCCTTAAAATAATACTTTTTTCTTGTTGTGTAGTTCCATAGAAGGGCTGAGAGGACTGCCTTACTGAAAGTCAGTTCCTTTTCCACACAGGGAGTTACCATGAATTTAAAAAAAACAAACCAAAGACAAATAGCACAGATACTTCATACTCTTTTATGTATTTTTGTAGCATATTTCTTTAGCTGTTTTCTTTTATGTAAGAAAACATGAGAGATAAAAATAACCTTTTTTGGAACTTGCATTTAACAGCTAGCTTGGGAATTGCATCCCACATCCTTGTGACTATTGAGGCTTCTGATGATGCTCATGGTGTGTTTGAGTTCAGTGCTGAGTCCCTTTCAGTGAATGGAACTGAGCCTGAAGATGGAGATAGCAATGTTGTGCTGCAGGTGGGAAAGCTTTGAGTCTCATGTTGCTGCATTGCACTCTTCTGTCTGTTTTTTCTGGTGTTCTCTGATGCTGTTGTCATTAGTCTATGGGCTTTATAACAACTTTGTCATGAACATTTGTTTTTCCAGTCATGCAGCATTTGTTAATGTATAATTATTCACCTGGAAACTAAAATAATAATAATAATAATAATAATAATAATAATAATAATAATGATATCCAAAAACTTAAGATCTACTTATTTAGAATCAAGGGGCTACTGTCTTAAAATAAGTGTTGATAATATAAGTTCTGCAGAGCTAAGATAATAAAAATTGTGTGTTTTTAAAACACAGACATATCTTTAATTCATCATGTTATTGTGCTAGTTAATTGTATTTCACACCTCCATGTTTTCTTTCTCATAGAACAAAAATATGCACATCTTTATATGTTTTTCTTAGGTTGTGAGAAGTCATGGGGCCTTATCTCAGGTGACATTACATTGGATGATAATCTGTGATCTTACCAATGACCTGATCTCTACAGATGGGAATGTAACATTTGATGTTGGCCAAGTGAGAGCAAATATTACATTACAGATTTCTCCTGATGATGTTCCTGAATTGGATAAGATGTTTTCAGTTTTGATCACCAATGTCTCCCTTGGTCGTCTTGGATATCATACTAATGCAACATTAACTATTTTAGCAAATGATGATCCATACGGAGTCTTCATCTTTTCTGAGCAAAACAGACCAATTAAAGTTGAGGAAGAAACAAAGAATATCTCTCTGACAGTTATAAGATGTGCTGGTCTCCTTGGTACAGTAATGGTGAAATACAGAACTATTGGTGATGAAGAAAAGTTGCCCTTTCTTCCACCGGATATCGTCAGAGCAATAGCGGGAAAAGACTATACACCCATTACAGGTTATGTGATCTTTGCAACCAATGAAAGTGAGGCCACAATATCCTTGCCTATTTTGGATGATGATGATCCTGAGAGATCAGAATCTGTTTTTGTGGAGCTAACCAGTGTTGTTTTGATTAAGAAAGTTCAGGATCGGCCAAGTAAGTGTCTTACATACAACCCACAATATAGCTATAAAGGTAATTCATATGTAACAGGAGAAAATGCAGCAAGATAAATGAAGAGCTCTTTACCTCTGCCAAACTCTATATAGTTAATATATCTCTTAGTTACCTGGCTTGTACCTGTTAGCATTTATTTCCTTTGGCACACTATTTTATTGGAAAAGCACAAGTATTTCTTTATCGCTTTTGCACTGTCTTATCTGAGGTCTTTCAGGCCAAATATGTTACAGTATTTGTTTGTGCACTAATATCATCTCATTTAACATTTCTGGAAGTTCAGTAGTAGGAAAAAACTAACCTAGTTTTTCTTATTAAAATACAAAAAAGTCTTATTAAAAAAAAAAGGTGATGTAGACTTAGTGACATGCTGCTTTCTTAGTGTTGACAATTTTTACTTAATTTCTCATTCAGATAAATTCAGGTCATTACAGCCTGATTTGTGCTTCAGAGATTCTTGGCATGTTTATTTGCTGCCCTTGCCCACAATAAGAGGTAGCTTCAAATGTAATTCCACTTTGAGTTGAAATCTGAACTTATATTTCATCATATCAAGAGTAAAACTGAAATTACTCTGAACTGTATTGATCTTACTATTAATCTTATGTATAAATAAATAAATAAATAAATAAATTCACAGTACCTCATCTTTTCAAACAAATTATGGCTTGTATGCTCCACAGCATAATAGATTAATGTTCAGATTTTCTGCCAGAACATAATTTAAACCCATGTATTTTAATATGATTTGTAGTTATGCTTTGTCTAATTGAAAAAAAGATAATTTTCTTGAAAAGTAGAGACAAACACACGTGTATGTCTATGAATTCTATACCCATGAATAGTAAGCATTTCTATTAGGGGTATCTGTTATGGGTATGTATATTATGGGTACCTACCCCTAATAAGTTTTTTTTTATATTTCAGTTATAAATTCTCCCCGACTTGGCTTAGTGGGTGAGACAATAGCTCACGTGATTATCAATGCCAATGATGATGCTTTTGGAACACTTCAGCTTTCAGCTTCAGCTGTGAGAGTTGCTGAAAACTATGTTGGACCAATCATTAACGTGACCAGAACTGGGGGAATATTTTCAGATGTTTCTGTGAAATTTAAAGCTATGCCAATAACTGCAACAGCTGGTAAGAACGCACAATAGCAGAACTATGCAGCCTGTGATAAAACTAAAACAAACAAGTGTGTAATGAATGCTCTATTAGGTAACAAGCATGAAATAAAAGGTAGTAAGGCATTGACTGTGCTTAGCAAATATGAACCTAAGACCTAGGGGAAAGTTTAGTCATTATCACTGGAAAATCTAAAAATGAAATAAGGCAAATAATTGTGTTATTTGTTTACTTAGTAGCACACCACCACTTAAATGCCCTTTGCCCG